CGGTTGCAAAACTGTTGAGTCTGCTGAACGCAGCCTATGATGTCCTGAATTTGAGAATCTGTGTTGCCTGGAGGGGGCGTTTGAGAGACGCCATCAGGATCCAAGCGGCGACGCTTGAATCTCTTAAGCATACGCCAAATCTCTGTGGAGGGGGTGAAATGGCTTAGGCTCTTAAGGCCATTCTCCATAAGACGCAGAACGCGGTTCGCAGGTCGCAAAACTAGGAACTAACCTAACGTATTTTAATCATAGTATGTTTGTAGGACGCAGAACGCAGGACGCAGAAAGTTGAAGTTCACCCAACTTTCTGCGTCCTGCGTTCTGCGTCCTACAAACATACTATGATTAAAATACGTTAGGTTAGTTCCTAGTTTTGCGACCTGCGAACCGCGTTCTGCGTCTTATGGAGAATGGCCTTTACAGAAGTCTCTCCAACTCTTGCGTTTGGTTTGACGAAGACATTTGTGAGTAGAGCGCACCGATTTACGATATGCTATGTAATTTTCCATGGACGAACTTGCCTATATTGTTTGAGACGGAGAGACCGAGCTCTGACCGCCTCGTCACACTCCGGCATCCACCATGGGGCTGGGGAAGGACCCCTGAAAGAGCGGCCGCCATCGCAAACATTGCTAAATGTATTAGTTCTATTTGTTGGTTTAGAATTCAATTTTTTGCCGAAACATTGCATAACTAGTTGGAAAAAGGTGTTGTACCCCTCTTCAGTTGAGATAGATAACGTTGTAAAAGAAGTTTTTTCAACGATCATCTCGTCAGCGTGCTCCTCCAGCCATTGTTCCACTGTCCTCCATTGCTCGCGCGTAAGACGGATTCTGTTTGAGAAAACATCAATATTTTTGATGGTAAGTAAGGTTGATTGAAACCAAAATGGGAAAATGGTTCCCCAAAGGTTCTGACCAACGCGAACATTGCAAACAGACGAAAGATTGGTAGAAGAGAAGACGAGATCTATAATAGACGGAGCTCTAGTTGGATGAGGAAGGTGGGGGAGGAATCTGGATTAAGACAGGAGTGCGTTCCGTTTCTTGCATGATGCGCATAGAAGCATAGAAGTTCCAAAAAGGGACGTAGGTTAGGTTGATTCTCCGAAATGGAATATTTCAAGGCGTTACAGACAAGGATAAGCATACCTCTAACCTCATTAGCGACAGAGTCGTATGGAGTTAAAGTCCAAGATAGAAAAAGAATGAGAGAAATCCAGACAGGTTTCGGCTAGTATAATAATATGAAAATCCTCTGACATCTTCTCAAGTTTGACCTTCTTAAATAGGACCTCGCGACAATTCCAGAATACTAGTCTTAGAAGGGATGAATTGGTTTGTGACTGGGAAGGTGGGTTGGAATTAAAGTCCATTACAAGTTTATTATTGAAGGTTTCAAGAGTCTCGTTAATCTGTCTGAGTCCACTACTTATTTGCAGGTCAGTGAGAGGGGCAGAAATACTGATAACTTTTTGAATTAAATTAGATAGCATCAAAATTTAGAATCTCCTTAAGGCAAAAAGATTCATAAGTTTCGTGACAGAGGAATTATTTGGATTTAGCGTCGTAGAGGACGGTTGCGAGGATAGAGGAGCATGGGGACTCTGTGTAGTGGAGGAGGATAGAGTGAGGGAGAGAGTGGATAGGCTCTCTCGGAAAGGGGGGAGAGGGGGAAGGTGATTTTCTTCCTATCTCCCGTACGGGGGACAACCAAGCATGCATTGTGTGCGTTGCGCATATCAGTAGGGTGGTTCTAAAGCCGTAATTACACTAGCGATTGCCGATTGGATTGAGTTACGTTAACGTTTGTCTGCGGGAGTCCATGATAGGCATACGATTGATTGTGAGGGTGATGAAAGGGAGGATATCCATGGGTTGAGGAACGGACTTTGTCACTGTAAGACTGCCTGGGATGTTGTAAGTTCGGATGACCAAATTCAGGAAGAGATCCTAGTAGATCATAGGGATTAAGATCACAAAAGTTAGTAGCGACTAGTAATTCTTCTAAAAACAGTACCCGAGCGAATAGGTGCGTCGTGGAGCGAAATAGTTTAAAATAGAAATAGAGAAGATAGTTCCGGAGCACAGCTCAATAAGCGATAAATCTGTAATTGTACAAATACTGTCACGGAAAACCGATCAGTGTGATTGAAAATAACCGTAGTATTGAATTTGTAGAGTGTTTGAAAGAATAAACAATAACGGACAGAGTATCCTTATGAGAATAAAGAAAAGTGAACTTAAACCAAATCTACCGTCATATCGTAGAATTATTAATAATCTTTACTATCCTAACGCCTATCCTAGTGAATATCCTGATAGGGGAATTAACGGAAGACGAGACATTTCGAGACTTTTCTTTTAAAATAACCTAGCGGTCTTGGTAAAAAGACTACAGTTGTGTCTCGCTCAAACGCATTTATTTGTTCTTATCTAACATATTGCAACGCCATCTCTTAGAAGATCGAACATAAGGATACTCTGTCCGTTATTGTTTACCATTCTGAGTCTTCGCTCAGCATTCGTGTACACGTCATTTGCAGATCGATATAAATCTTTCTTTTGAAGCTTTTAATCTAGTTTCATAAACTCAGTATTGTTTGTGCACGTAATGCGCTGAGTGTTGCACTACGTTTGGTTCATACGAGCTATAAAACTTTTGTATTAAGGAAATATCTACGTTAGGTGACAGCTCCACGAGTTGAAAAATGTAAGTTTTTAACTTTTTTCCCGATTTTAGTATAAAGTCTATTGCAGCACTCCCAAATTTTGCGTCTATTTTAATCTTGTAAAAGGATTTTTGATTCCGTTCAGTAAATTCGCAGATTTTTATCGATCTGCAAAATACCGATAATTTGGCCACTCCAATATCCCCTTAAGGGGATTCTAAATCAATTACCGAACTTGATCGAGGTCGATAGTATAGACTTTTTTAATTCCAAATTCGATAATAGTGACATCTTTGATTCGCGTTTCTTACATTATATTATATATCGTTCTATCTCACTTAAACGCATACATCTGTCCTTATCTAACATATGCCAGCACTATCTATCGCAAGACCGCGCAATTACTATTACACGGAATTTCGGCTCTGTTGACAGTGCCAGTCTTCACAAAGCATCCGTATACACGTATTTTCCATTCGGTGAAAAGGCTTTTCTTCTAGACTTTCAATCTTAGTTCTACAAACTCGGTATCGTTCGTTCCAGTAATGTGACCTCAGTTGCATGCTTATTTTCAAGATATGGATTATAAAAGCATTTTATATCAAGCAAATATGATATATACCTCAGGTGATGAGCCAAAAGTAAGTGAATTTTTAACGAATTTTAAACTTTTTTTCGATTTTCTCATGAAATCCAATGCAGCTGAGGTCCTGTTTGTGCGTATTTTAATTTTGTATCAATAATTTTGTAATCCGTAAATCCAAAACAGAGATTTTTCACCGAATGAAAATGACGTCAAGTAGGACAACTTTAGCATCTCCCCTTAAGGATCCAATAAACGTTGCTCGTGTATTTTGACTTTTCTATTTACTAATTTTGCTTAGCAAAATCTCACATATTTTAAAATAATTTTTTATTTGTCAATTGAAAAGCGAAATGGGTTTCTTTTCAACAATTGTTGCTTTAAAACTCCTATACATGAATTATTTCCAAAATTATATGAAAATATATATGACCTAATACACGTTTATTACTAATTTGATTATTTATTTCGGAAAAAAAACAACGAAAAAAAGGTAAAAAAAGCAGGATTCGAGGTTGGGATCTCTAGCGTTCCGATCTCATATCTTACGAGCTTAACCACACGAACTTCTTGCTACTCGAGTTTATGAAGGAGGTATGTAACGCGCATGAAAAATCGTAAACAATTAAATATCTCGCGTATTATCTGTTGCGTTTTGACATTATTTATATTATTCTGAATTACCGGGGAGGGGTATGCTATTACTACAATTTATTAAAACTTATATGTTATTTAGAATGCCCCTCGCCCCTTATTGATACACGCCGAGCGGCTGAGATTGCCAAGAAAGTATTTTCGGTCGCTTGAAACAAGCGACTGAAGCAACAAGGACGGCTCGCTGTCTTGTTTGCTCTCGGCGCGCCAAAGGCGAGCACACAGACATGGGCTCGTGCTTGTGTGTGTGGCTACCGATTTCGCCAAATGAATCGATCGCCGTTTGATTCTGTGTCGCCACCGTTAACGCAAAGTTCTTGGCTGTACTCAGGAGCCTTAATAGTGATTTCATAATTCTGGATGTTCCAACTCTTCTCCGATAAGGATGACAGGATGACAAATATTTTTATAACTACAGTTTCAGGATTGAAACCGTTTAATCACATCTTTGTACATAAAATAATAAAAATTTGACATAAATTTATTAGAAATTACCGCAATATATCATTTAATAGTATAGGGGATAGATACAATATAAGCTTGATATTTTCTAAATTCTTTTCTGATACAGATTTATATGATTACAATCGATGTTGCAGAAATTGTGCTTTTGTTTTTTGTTTCAAATATAGTGAGCCCATTGCACAGAAATTTGTATAGAAAAATAAGCATTAATATATCTTGAATAATAGAACAAACATTAAATTCTGTGAAATTATGTCGATGAATTATGTCGAATTTTTATGAGCTGAAGCATTTCATGCTTATTCTTTTATGAAAATTTTTATGCTTTACAGATATTACAGAATAATTGAAGATGTCTTTCTGTATTATTTTTCAACATATTTGCTTTTTATTACTTTATAGACATATGTGTATAGTCCCATATTTAAACGGGCTCTGGATAATTATCCTATTTTATTGAAATGAGTAAGTATAATTATCATTTTATTCATTTGTGTGTGTGTGTGTGTGTGTGTGTGTTTGCGCGCGCGCGCGCGCGCGTGCGTGCGTTTTTATAATATATACCACAATTATATTATTTTGTATAACACAGTACCTATATTGTGTTTACATTATAACTTATAAATCTATAGAATATAGTTATATATTTACAAGGATATTAAAAATTAAGTGAAGATAATTAAAAAAATTTATATAATTAATATTTAAAGAAAAGAACAAAAACAGATGGAATAAGTAACTGTTAAGGAGATACATCACCTAATAGGAAATCTGCATTAAACATTGCAAAATTACTGATAATACGAATGTACTTTTTTGTTTTTATACATAAAAATGCTATATATATATATATATATATATCATATCGATTTATTTCAAGGCCTACGTTACAAGTGCATTTCAATCAGAGGACATAAATATGTAATTATTTGATCTTTGCAATTTAAATATGTATATAGGTATTATATGTATGTATAAATGTATATATTTTTTAATTGCAAAAATCATATTTCGTATAATATTCTGCAACTTGTTTGCGATGGCACATATTTTTCATGTTTATCGAATTCAAGAATTCTGCATAAATACAGCGACATATTCTTTTTTTCATTTGAAAATTTCGCATCTCAAAATTTTGAATTAATTTATCCATGACCTATTAAAGTGAGAGGACTATTTGCATTAGCAGCAGTACCTATATCAGCCATAACCATATAGGCAATACATTCTTGAAAAAAGCAAGAAAACAAAGAAGAGATATAATTAATGAAAAAATAGAAAAAATTTTATATGATGTAGTATTAATATGTTTAAAAAATATTGAATTTGCATATTCATTATCAAAATCATTCTGTCACAATCTTTTGTATGAAATTTTATATATAAACTGTATTGCATTATTCACTGGTTGTTATAATATCAATATAAAAATAAATTGCGTAATTAAATCCTTTATTTGTATGGGCCTAATCTACATGCGTAGATTATTTATTAATATATTTAATTTCTATAACTGTTATGGACTAATAGTTTTATAATATATTTGTTAGTGAAAACAGTATTATTGTTATACGATTATGGATGCTTTGTGTATCTTTATCAGTCAATTGTATTCCATGTTGTATAAACATAGACAAAATAATACTTTTACGGAATAACTTTTTTTGCGAAAGGCAGAATATAAGAGATCAGAATGGACTATATAAAATAAGTAGAATTTCACTTACTCATAGAAAAAAATTATATTTGTGATGCACCATCCAGAGATAAGAATGACTAAAATTATAACTTTTTACTTTGGAAATTTATATATGTAATGTATTATAATCATCATATTGTAAAAATAATTACAAATGTATATATATGTATATATACATGTATATATACATGTTCCATATTGACATTGACACCGAAATATTTAAAAAATTATAAAAGATACAAAAAATGTTTCAGACAAAAGTTGTAAGGTTTAAAAAGGTCTATTTACTGATCATATCCGTTTGACATTGGATGGCGTTGCCAAGGTCAGGACGAGGTCATTTTGAATTTTTTAAATAGAATCCCCTAGATTTTATTATTATAGTATATTATTATAGCCCTTTCTGAGACCGTTCCAAAACACTATAGTTTAATTTACTTTGGGTCAGCTGTTTTGAAATTATCGAGATTTATTATGTCTACTCGGTACAAGCAATCCCGTCGCCTTTAATAATCGCATAAAGTTTCGATTGTCACCATTGCACACGCAGTGTATTTTCAGCGACAAATATCGCGTGTATACGAAACTCCGTCGCTACGGCAAAAGCACTTGTCGAGTTGCTTTAGAGAGTTATGTAAGCAGGCGAGCTCTTTGCACGTCTCTATCACGACTTTTCTTTCGATCTAAATTAGATCATATAATTTTGCCAAGTATATGATCCATCGCCTTTATTATGTGCCGCATGTCTCAGAAATTAGAAAAAAAAATGGTGAACTTTATTTGTGTCACACAAAATAAGAATTCTTATGTACATACATGTATGTATATTTCTACATTCAATAAAATAACAGTCCCTCGAAAACAAGGTTCTTCAACGTCAATTATGTTAGCTACGTCAGGTATGTCAACTATTGCTATTGGGCAACTGCAGTGAGGAAGCTTTTTAGTTTTTTATTAGTTTTGTTTCAACGAACTCAGATTCTGATTTCTTATACTTAAAGAATGGCGAATTATATACCAAATGAAATAGTGGATATCCTGCTGATTCTTGACGAATGCAACAAGAATTACAGACGTGCTTTCTGTCGTTGTGCTGAGCTATATCCTAATCGTCGCCATCCGAGTGCTCAGCAAGTGATAAATATTGAAAGAAGAACTCACAGAAATACATTACTCACCAGAGACAGAGAAACAAGCTTCTAAACAATAATGACCCTAAACTCCTCGCAATTTTGGGCATAATTCATTTCAATCCACACATCATTACTCGACAAATAGGAATTAGGAATCCCTCTATCTACGGCTCATCGAATGTTACAATTCGTACAATACCATCCTTATCACATCAACTTGGTACAGGAATTGAGCAAAAATTATTGCAAACTTCAATTTTGTAGATGGGCACTCGATGCATTGGAGCAGAATCTAAATTTCTTTTGAAATATCTTTCAGTGACGAAGCTACATTCCATAGCAATGATAGTCTATTATAGACAATAATTATTACTGGTCACCAGTAAATCCTCACTGGTATCGACAGAAGTGATCATCAGCATTGTTGGAACCTTTACATTTGGATTGGTATATGTAATAGTTAAATTGTTTTTTAGACCGAATTTTTTTTAAACATACAATTAATGGTCCAATTTTTTTACAAGACTTTCTCCAAAATTATTTATCAGAATATCTTCAGGATATTCCATTAGATGTCCGCCAAAGATTTTGGTTTCAACAGGATGATGCTCCAGCGCATTACTCTCGAGATGTTCAAATTTTCTTACATGAGCAATATCCAAATCATTTGATAGGTCAAGAAGGATCAGTCTTGTAGCATCCAAGATCACCGGATCTAAATCCTCTTGATTACTATTTATGGGGATATATGAAAGATGCTGTGTATCAGAAAGCACCAACCACGAGACTATGACTAACCACTAGATATGATGGAAAGAGTCAGAAGAGCCTGTCAAGCGATAACGCCGTAAATATTCAGAGGGGTTCTACGAAACTTAGACGTAGACTGATTTTATGCTTAGAAAATAACGGTGCACACTTTGAACACTTAATTCCAAGAGTGATGATAATTAGACAAAGTTCCTTAATCCTTCGATCTTGCCTCCATTGACCGGATCATCCCTCGATCTTGCCTTAATTGGTCGGATCATCCCTCGATCTTCACTAGCTGGATCAATCTTTGGTTGGACATCTTACTATATAAATCTCAATAACTTCAAAACGGCTGACCCAAAGTGAATTAAATTAGTGTTTTGGAAAGGAGGGCTAAAATAATATGCAATAAAATCTAGGGGGTTCTATTTAAAAAATTCAAAGTGAACTTGTCTTGACCTTGGCAACGCTACCTAATGTCAAACGGATATGTTCAGTAAATAAACCTTTTTAAATCCTACAACTTTTGTCTGAAACATTTTCCCGTATTTTTTATAATTTTCGAGATATTTCGGTGTCAAAGTTAAATGGGAAATTCTGTATATATGTATACAATGCGTGACGCTCAGAAATCGGCTTGAAATGTGTATAATAATGACGCCTACTGTTCTCCCCACCTCTCGAGTCGCAGTGGTTGAGCCACCGTTTGCGCGCGTGATGCTGAGCATTGCACACTTCAGGCTGGGATCAGAAACTCGACACGTCCATGCCATTGATCTTGGATAATGCTAAGTACGGATAGAGAAGCTTTCCAGATAACACACATGTTGAATAGGTTGGTGGTAAAAATGGGGCGGACTAGTTACAAGATAACAGGCGTCAAATACGTCCGTTTAAGCTAGTTACCTGATTTCGATAATTCCTGCAATAATAAAACGTTACCGATAATTTAAAATAAATAGGGACGAAAATCGGTCTTGAAGAGACTCCTCCCCTTAAAAAAAAAATTTTTTTAATAAAAAATTAACTCTTGAATTTTTAAATAACATCCTATAAATTTTTTCCATGGTATTGTAGAAGTCTTTAAGACGAATTCAACACATAATCGAGAATGTCACTTTCATTGACGTTTTATTAATTTTATTTATTTTATTGACAATATGCAGAATTATTTGTAATAGCAGTACTTATAGTTCTGACTAGAAATGTACGTAGAATGTTTTCTAGCCCATAATGCACGAATAGTTAAAAAAATATTTCAAGATAATTTTGGAAATCGTGTTATGAGTACATATGGATCAGGCCAATGACCATCAAGTTTTCCGGATTTATCTCCGGTGGATTTTTTTTTATTGGGTACTTTTGAAATTTTTTGTATATCAAACACTTTTTTATATCCTTTACATTTTATATTTAAATAATATTTAAGATTTCCGAGAAAGAATAATTACAGATTGTGTAATTTTGGATCAAAATAGTATAATAACTGGTATGCATAGGGTGTTTTCTATTTGGTGACACAAGTTGATGCAAGTGTCTTTTCGTTTCTCTTCGAATATCATGAAAGACAGAATAATGTTTATGTCACTAAATGGAAAACATCCATAGTAATTGTTAAAAAGAGTAAAACTTTGTGTTGCAGAAGGAGGCAAGCAATTTGAACACAGACAAAAATTGATTATCTGATGTTAAAAAATCAATAAAATCTGTTCACCATAAATAACACAGTCTTTCATTATTAATGGATACTTATGATATATATTGTCTTTATAATACTTTATATGTATAAAATTAATAAAACATCAATAAAGATGACATTCTCGATAGTGCGTTGAATTCGTTTTAAAGATCTACAGTATCATGGAAAAATTGCATCATGCTATTTAAAGAATTTGAAATGATCTTAATCTTTTTTAATTAAAAAAATTTTTTCTACCCATTTTAAATGGGTCAAATATCTCGAAAAATATGAAAGATACGAAAAAAAGTTTCACATAAAAGTTATGTATATACGATCTGAAGCAATGCAAAAATTAATTTTCGAAAAAAACTATTTAAGATAATGTGAACGATATCGCCATTTTTTGAAACAGAATTATATGATTTTTTTTATATAATATGATTCTTTTCTGATTATTCCACACATAAATGTATTAAGATAAAACTATCGAAAATTCAATAGTTTACGAGATGTTTTATACCGATATATTTTGACAAAATGTTAAATATCTTGTAAATTATTAATTTTTTTATAATCGTACCTTGATATACTTTTATGAACAGAATAATGAGACAAAACAAAATTCATTGGTGTAAAAAAAAGTAATAAAAATATTTTTAAATAAGTATAGCGGAGTATATATATATATATATACTATCCACGTGGTGCATCCTGGGTAATGCCAAAATAGTCCGAAGTTATTACTATTAAAAAGCTATGCAAAAAATTAATTTATGTTATTATTTATGTTACGATATTTACGTTATGATATTTTAACCCACACTCAAGAGCCATAAAAGAGGCTTTCCTGGCAGTCTTAAAAAAGAAAAAATATATGCCAAGTGCATAAAAAAAGATATCGAATATCACATTCCTTTTAATAAAAAACAGATACGAAATAAATGAAATTAACCAAGTATTTCATAATGTAAGACATAAAGATAGATTGAAAGTGATTAAAATGGTCAACTGGATTATAGTGAAGAAAAAACTTGGCGTGCCCGGGTCGTATTAGAACGCAATGTTCTAGAACCAATATGTTTTCATAGTACGAAAATTATTTGTAATACGAATTAATAAAAAAGTTTATTGTCTATATGTTCTAGGCCTTCCTCACACATGCACATACGCACATATGCATATACGCATACACAGCAGATTAAATCCGACTGAGTAACTTCCACGTGGTACACCTTGGATAACGCTAATGTCAGCAGTAACTGTCGAGTTTTATAACTCGACAAGTGCTTAATGAAAATATTTATTATAGTTTTGAAAACGTTTCAACTTCGGCTACAAAAATATGCAATAAAAATAGCGGTTCCTATTTCAAAAATTCATATTGACCTTGATCTGACCTTGGTAATGCCCCATATTTTCATTAAGCACTTGTCGAGTTATAAAACTCGACAGTTACTGCTGACATTAGCGTTATCCAAGGTGTACCACGTGGAAGTTACTCAGTCGGATTTAATCTGCTGTGTATGCGTATATGCATATGTGCGTATGTGCATGTGTGAGGAAGGCCTAGAACATATATACAAAATCTGTTTTATATTTCCACCTTCTTTGTCCCAAGAAAACCTACAATTTTTATATAAAACTTTTTTCTGTATCTCTCTTAGTTTCTGAGACATCCGTCTGGGGCGATTAAGATGCCCCATCCTATATAGTTTATTGTGTAAGTCATTTTTTTATCTGATCATTGCTCCCATACAGCATGAATGAAACACACATTGAACGTAGTGCACTTATTTATACATTTTACATTGCTTTCATCTGCTTGTACTGTGTTATTTGTTGGAATTTTACACTATGACAAATGTAAAATTCAAAGAAACAGAATTGAGATAATTTAATTTAAAGAACTAGTCCTTATTGCGACAACTTTAAAAAAACTGCAATACTCTCTATGTGACCTTAGTAAAGAAACAAATATGTCTATACAATTGGCACGCTTTGTCTGTCAGTAAGGAGTCCTTGAGAATACAAAAAAGTTGGTTGTTACTTAACTATCTATAAGTGTAATGTAAATAAATGCATTTACTTAACTTACTTAAGTCGTAATATACTCCTTACAAACAAAGACTTTTGGCCAGAGTAATAAGTTTTTGGATAAGGCTTTTCAATATACATTCTAAGACTTTTTTCTAAAAAGAAACAATTTTATCTTTATTTCACCATTATCTTTTTCTCTTCCTTCTCTTGCCTTTTTGTTCTCTCTCTCTCTCTCTCTCTCTCTCTCTCGTCAACATGTATACACATACAGAACACATCTGTATACATATTTCAAACTATCCTCTAATGCTGATCTCTGTATCTCTGTTGCTGCATGAATAGTCTTGACACTTTAAAAAGTTCACCAGTTTATGTGTATATACATTCATTTAAATATCTTACTTTACAGATTAACAACGAGCCATTTAAGGTGTGAGGCCATTGAGTAATTGTAGTTCATCTCTTGTAGAACTTTTATTTAACTGTAGAATAGTTTTGTTGAGAATTTTGATTTGAAGATACCCACGTATTGAATACATCTCTGAAACACAATAAAACAGATATAAATATAGAATAAAGAGAAATTATAGAACAGGTGTACAAGAATAATCTCTGTGAATTAAAAATATATGCCAATATACACTGTGAGTGTACTATGATCAGAAACATGTAATAAAATACAACAAACATCGATTGTTCATTTAATAATATGTATTATAGTATTTATTTACATAAAATGTACAATTAATCTAAGCTAGAGAAATTGAATATAATATTCTTACCTGCAATGGCTGACTACACATTCGTTGCTGCAGTATTCATCTTCCCATTCGTTATTAGATATAGCAGGATTGGGGCATCCCTGATGTATACACGGTGATGGCCTTTGTCCTGTCATAGTCACTTGTGAAGGATTTACTGGCGACGAAGAACTAGATAAAGTTTCAGACTTTATCGGTAAATCCTCAGATTTTATAAATTCTGCTCTAGGTGGACTTGTATGTATTATTTGTTGCTGCTGTTGTTGTTGCACTTGCACTTGCTGTACTTGTTGTTGAGGCACCTATAAATAATGTTATAAAATGTTGTACAGCATAAAAAAACATACTGCATTGTTTGATTAATACATTTTTATTTTAGAACTAATTAACAATTGATACAAAACATTTCAATAACTTAAAGATGTATAATAATTAAAGAAAATATCTCGTTATATTTCTCTTTTTTTTCTTTTTCCTTCTCTTTTTATGCACATGTGCAAAGAGTAACGAATTTAGTCCATTTTGTGCTCCTTGAATTTTGAGTTAAACTGTATGCCAAACGATGGTATATATGATGGAATATTAATCTCAGAAAAAAATTTAAGTTGTATATAGAGGTTTTGGAGATACAAGGAGTCAAAATGATTAAATTTCTAATATTTTCAATATTGCTCAAGCATTACAAGACACAAAAAGAAAGTTAATCCTTCGTGGATACACATATTTTTATTTACTTCATAGACACTCTGGATCTTTTGTCCAGCCCAAATTTTACTGTTATAGGCTTTAAAAAAATCTAAAAGAATTTAGGATTATTTATCAACATCTCTACTACATTGCCAAATAGTTATTTAATTCAAATGTTAAAACCTTTATTTAATAAAAATTGAAATTTGTGCCAAAAATTTGAAAGAATGTCAAGAAATTTTGTCTGAATAAAAAAAGACTCATTGTGCTTACGAAAGATTAGTACTTTTTTTATGATATTGGGACTTTGACTAGAATTAGTCATAATAGTCTTCTGAGCTCCCTTGTTAAATTTTTGTTAAGCTTCCAAAAGAGGTTTTATCAAATTTTTTGAAAACGAATGCAAATAAGAAAAATATTTTTTACATATTATATTTAAGAAACCTTTTTTATGTAGAATTTCGAGACAAACAACTTTTATCATAAATATTTCTTCGTATCTGCATTAATTTTCAAGAAATTTAACAAAAACTTGAGGATTGCTTAGGGATAGTTTTATCCTTTAAAAAAATTAAGCAACAGGGGGGAACAGAGATTAGAAAACCATTCTGATCAATTCTAGTCAAAATTCTATTATTATCAGGTAGTATTAATTTGATTTCTGTGGCTACAGTACTTGAACAATATTGAAAATATTATAAAGGAGGATGCCCACGATATAGGGAGGTTTCTGCCCTAGAGATGGAACCTCTGAAACCGATAAATTCATTTAGAGTACGATGAAATCTATCGCCCAATATCAAATTCCATTTTCTTATCGGCAAGGAAAGTTGAAAAAATCATGTTTGAAGTTTTACGTAGTGACGACGCGATGGCGAGAGAGGTAAAAAGCGAGCGAGGCAGTGAGAGTGGAGGGGGAAACCCGCTGGCGTGCCCGGGGCCCGGACTCCGGCAAGGTAATCAAGTAAAACTTCTTTTTACTCTTTTAATCTATAAATCCAAAATACACCATAACATAGAACGTTTCGACTCTCTTTGGAGTCTTCCTCAACTAATACATAAATTAATAATACTACCCTGATCGTTGGATGTGAGTTACCATCAAATTTGCAGATTTGATGTTGTCAAAATCTGTTAAAAGTTAAATACCTAATCAATGATTAACTACTTAAAAAGTAAAAGAAAGGGCGACTCATCTCAACAATTAAAGGATACGTCGTAAGCTCTGGATCAAACAATTAAAAATTTTTGTTAATGATTAGGTGATATTAAATGTTCCTGACCATTCTCATATGTAGCATGCTGATAACAGCGCGTCCAAAACATAACTGATAATTTTTAATTATTCGGAACATACCGGTCAAACCAAGAAAATATTACAAATGTAGAGGGATAACAACAAATACTTGTGTGAAACATTTAAATCAACTTATACATATCTACATGAGACGTCTATTTTATGTCATTTAAAATTTGTACGTATGCGTGGCGAAAATCCTCGGTATCTGATCGTACATTAAGGCATTTTCTTGCATATGGATGTGAAGGCATTTAGATATCAACCTCTTATTTAAAAAACGCTTTGTATCAAGTATTTCGACATTTTCCCAATCGAAGTCATGTTCGAAATTGATTCTATGTTCCGTAATTACAGATTGAGAGTTGGTATTACGATTTATGTGACTACGATGTTCTGACACTCTGGTTTTTAATCTCCTACCTGTTTGTTCTATATATAAGTATATATATAAGTATATATAAGTATATATAGAACAAACTGCGTTGCAATCATTGCATTTTGTCATCATTGCATTGAAATTTTGTATACACATTTTTCTTAACTTCACGTCGGAGAAAATCTTTCTGTAGGTACCTTAATAAAGTTGTCCATTTTATTCATACTAATAAATGCTAATTTTGTTAAAATTTGTTCTGATTCTATTGAATTCGTCAGAAATGTTAGTGATGTAAGGTAGCATAAATCATGAATCATATTCTTTGTTTATCTCATTACTATCTTACTATCTTTTGAATTTTTCTGTTTTAGCGTCCATTTGTGAAATAGAAACTTTAGGCGTGAATTAATAATATTAAAGATAAACCTATTAAAGATAAACTCTATCGAATAATCATTTTTTTGTAAGGTACCAATGATATACTTGATATTCCTTAGATGGTATTTAGGATACGGTAACTAAAATTCTCCGTCAGTCATCCCTATTATTATTAAAATTAAATTAAAATAAAAATTACCTATTATTACTCCTGTTTTTTTTAGATAGGTGATAAAAATGGACCCCACTTTAATCTTATGGAAATTGGGTTTCGACAAAGTTGTCTGAAATTTTGATATGTTGTAGCTTTCGGCATCCTGAACAAATGTCTCCATAGACACAATCCCCAGGAGCAGGGAAGTCAATCCTTCGCCTGCTATGAGTCAGCAAAGTAAAGGTTAATAGGCCTAATTGCAATATCGAGCTATATATCACTCTCATACACCAAACCCATCCTCATCCTTACCTTCCTCCACCTCTACTCTCACCCCTACTCCCTAGGCGTGCGCGTTGTGTGTGTGTGTGTGTGTGTGTGTGTGTGTGTGTGTGTGTGCGTGCGCGCGCGCGTATACGTGTATGCGTGCGTGTTTACAAGCGTATATTCCAGTAGAAATCAGGACCCACAATGTCATCATCAGCCTGATTTCATCCACTCCTGGATATCAGCCTCTTCCATTATACATGGTCTTTGCAGAAGGAAGGATGGTATTTAAATGCCACGCTTGTCATACGTGTTGGTGAGTGTACATATATCCACTGATATATGGGATAACTTACAGTTTAACGCCGGATCCGAACGTCGGCGCTGATGGTGATCGAAGATCTCTTAATCACCAAATGGAGTCATTTTTGGCTCCTTAAACTCGAAAAATCGCGTATATGGGCGCAGGTGGGATTGAACCTGGATCTACAGATCGCGAGTCAATCGTACCGAGTGGTAAGTCACTCGATCCACAACGTCACTTAATGGGATTTATGGCCAAAACCATTTCTACTGGAATGTGAGCTTTCTCATTCACACTCTATTCGCAGCATCTTCAACACTTCTCACAATCAGTAAAGCAGTGGATGGATATTTTATGTTATCCTCATAACGAGTGTATCCTAAAAACCATAACGCTGGATGATATAGATCCAACTCTCAGTTATTATTGCACATGTAAAGTTGGTGCAAGAACATTATGAGCATGTTACTAGCGTTTTATGGTTTCTAGGATATGCTCGTTATGAGGATATAACATATAACACATAAAATATCCATCCACTGCTTTACTGAGAAGTGTTGAAGATGCTGCGAATAGAGTGTGAATGAGAAAGCTCACATTCCAGTAGAGGGTTTTGAGTCAATAAATCATTAAGTGACGTTGTAGACCCTGAACTCTACTGGAACATAAGTTTGTAAACACGCACGCATGCACGCATACACAACGCGCAAGTGAGATGGAGGAAGATAGGGGTGAGGATGGGGGTTGGGTATGAGAGTGATATATAGCCCGATATTGCAGTTAGGCCTACCTATTAATCTTTACTTTGCTGACTCATAGCGAAGGATTGATTTCCTTCGGGAGAGTCCCCCCAAGGGGGGTTGTGTCTATGGAGACATTTGTTCAGGATGTCGAAAGCTGCAACATATCAAAATTTCAGACAATTCCGCCGAAACTCAAGTTCCATAAGATTATGGCGGGGTCCTTTAAATACTGAAGAGGTAGGTTTGTGGTACCAATCAAATTCGATCATATTATTATTGTTAACGATTGTGAGATCTAAGAAATTTATTCTGTCACCCTCTATTTCCAAAGTGAATTGCAATCTCTCATGAAAAGACTTAAATGTTTTAAGTGTAAAATCAATTAGGTTATTGGAAACTGCCATAATATTATCAACATATCGAAAATAGAAGGGAAGTTGGATACCAATAGTTTCCAGTGCCTTCAATTCTAAATCTTGCATGATTAGATCTGCTACAATCGGGGGAGAGTAGAGACTCCATAGGCGTGTCAAATTTCTGTTTATAAAACCCATCATCGAAACCAAAATAAGTAGAGTTTAATACTAAACGAACTGCAGATAAAAATTTGTCTTTAAGGATGTTGACAGATATGATTAAAAAACTCCACCTCCTTGCAATACTCTCAACGGCTACGTCAATTGGAATATTCGTAAATACACGCTGTACTCTCTTTCGCTCTGACAAACATCATTCGTTTTAAGTACTGAGAATCCATAACAAGATTACATTTTGGAATTAGTTTGAAGACACGCTAGCTGCAAGAGTGCGTCAAGATCCTTATATAATTTCTTTCTTTAATTTTATTATGTTTACGTTTGGTATTGTTTCAGTCAACCTTATGAAGCTTTGGATCAAACATTACAAAAACGTTATAAACAACAAAACAAGGATTCAACAAATTCACTAAACATTGTATTAAGAACAATTTATTACCGCAACATTTACAGTATATAGCTAACCGTAAGATTAATCTATTTCATTTCCGATCTGTACATAAATTTAATTATTTTGTAACAATGCACCGTCACGAACCCGCTATCGCCGCCATTGGCCCGCGACGCGCGAAATACATCGCGATAACTCACGAATGACAGCCGGTCCGCCGAAGAGATCCAAAACCGCTCGAATACCATCGAACCGCGCGTCTCCCGCTCGTATTGTTAACCGGCGGGAACCGATGAACGACTACGGGACAATACGAGCGGGAGCAACAATCCGGGTATAAAAGCGCGATATTTTATCGTGCAGCTCTCTTTTCTTTTCTTGCTTTTTCCGACTCCGACTCCGATCACGATCCAGCTCCGCATCCTAGCCGTTCCGCAGCGCGAAACAGCGGTAGAGAGTGCTCTGCCATTATCGAGTGTTCTCGATAGCTGCCGACCGGTTTTCCTTGCAGCTCCTGTTCGACGGGAATCTCCGGGGCAGAGCGTACTCTGCCCCGCCGAGCGTTCTCGGCTGCTAATCAGGGCCGCCTACTGCACCGCCACCTCGACGAGGAGAAATCCTGGGGTGGAGTCTACTCCGCCTAGCGTTCTCGGCCGCCGACCAGCGCCTGCATCCTGTGCCGCCCGCACCGATTAAAACCAGGGGGTAGAGCGTATTTTGCCTCTGTCGAGTTTTCTCGGCAGTCAGTTGCATCCTCAATTGCAACCTGCACCGGCCTAGGCATTAAACCAGGGATTGAGTGTTCTCAGCCTTCGCCGAGTTCTCGGTCGCCGAATGCCACCGCACAATATCTCACGTCATTCTCGATGCATCGAGAATCGATGCACCTCACGCCGCAAATCGCGTTCGCGTCACGCGACTCTGGTGTATACCCGCGCCCCTGTGACGAAGTCAGCCGAGCACGCGATACGCACAGTTGAGACGCGTCCCGCGCTCCGTGCCAAGACCGCACCGGCCTAATATCACGTGCCAGTTGCGTGCCGCGATATATTGTCACGATATACGAGCGAGCAAGATCTTGCGCGCGCGCACAATGTCTGGTAAAACCGTAACAACGTGTTTAAGGATTCTTGAAATCATTTTGAGACAAAAATCCTAATACTAAAATATCGAGGTTATAATAATTTTTGAATTGTATTTAAAGTTAGTGAATTATATTGTTTAAAAATTCATGCGTTCAGATATGATACAATGCAAAATGCCAATCACACCTGAACTTTAGGCGATGTGATTCGCTAAATGCTTATAGTTTAAAAACTATTATAGCTTCGACATTTTGATATGAAGGTTTTCATCTCAAGATGATCTCAGGAATCTAACGCAAGTAACACGGTCTATAATATATTCGCTGGAACAGCAAAAATGTGACTATAACGTGATAGTATAACGTGCTGCCAGCCTTAATTAGAACTATTTGACAGCCACAGCTATTTTAGCTGCATTAATAGCTATGTAATCAGTATGATAGCTAAAAATGCAGCTATAGCTATTTTTACTATATTGATAGCTATACAGTTGCTGTGACAGCTAATAAAAAAGTCAAAATATAACCATAGCAATTTTAACTGTATTAGTAGCTGTACAGTCGCTGTGGCAGCTAATAAAAAAGTTCAAATGAAGCCACTGCTATTTTAGTTATATTGGTAGCTGTACAGTCGCTGTAATAGCTAATAAAAAAGTCAAAATGCAGTCATAGTTATTTTGGCTGTAAAAGCACACATATGATAACTTTACAATCAAAATAACTGTAATTTAGCTGTAACTTGTGTCATAGCAAAAGCAAAGAGAGTAACATAAACTATCAGTTTTAAACTTAGCATGTATTAGCGATGATCAAGCGAACCTATGAGTTCATTTAAGTGGCTCTAAAATTATTACTTAGGAATTTGCGTACGCGTTAGTATAATTATGTGTACGTTATAAATTGCAATAAGTTATAATGATTAATTAATCTTTAAATTTGATCTAATTTAGTAAGACAAAGATACCGGGTTGTTATAAGTTCAATTCCATTTAAAAAAGAAATACATTTTTATTGTATTTTAAATATTTTTACGTAATTTTAAATTAAAAATTAAACTTTCATTAAATATATTAATTTACATATGAAGAACATTCTGTTTATTAGCTTGTTTATTTTATTCAGATTATCATTGCTATAACATATTGGCTATGACAACTTTTTTACAGCAAAATAGTTGTGCAATTGAGTGACTGCGATATCATTTTAGCTTAAAAATGTCCCATTTTTGTTACTACAATTTTATTAAAACGTTATAATAACTTTGTGGCGGTAGTTTTGCTAGACAAAAATGCTGCAGTGTAAGCTGCGACAACGTTACCGCAAACATTTTCAAGTTTTATGATGGCTATGATAACTTTTCCGCAGCAAAATAATTGCGTAGCCAAACGGCTGCGACATCAAAGCCCAAAATTGTTGTCTTATTCTGGCTGCTACAATTTTGTCACAATGTCATAATGACGTTGTGGCAGTAATTGTCATAAACAAAAATGCGGTTTAAGCTGGGACAATGTCATCACAGACGTTTTAAAGTTTCATGTATTACTTGGGAACCTTAAACGTTACGGTTTTTACCGGATATCCTATATATGTGTTTGTATATGTGTGTGTATATATATATATATATGTATAGTATATTAACCTGCATGTATTGCTGTTGAGAAATCTGCTGCTGCATGTGCTGCTGTTGCTGTTGTGTCATATGCGGTGGTGCCATTACAGTGCCCATTAAGCTCTATAAAAATGAGAATACATGTATTCTTCGTTTAGATTATTCATATTTTTTTCCTACATGATTCGAATTATCCAAACATGAATTATTAATCTCATAAAAATAAAATGTTTTCATACATTAATCCTCACATAGAGAAATAAAGAAAAAAATAAACAAAAATTTAGAGAACTTTTTGCAAAAAATATTCTACTTATTATATAGTATTGTATGATAAGCCGAACGATAGTCCTATTTCAATTATAGAATAATGAATAATACACTAATCATTAAATTTATATATTAATTTTTGTCTATTTGCCAATACTTATGTCATGAGAACAAGTATACAGTTATATCATAATAAAAAAAAAATTATATTTGTCTTTTATAACATGTACTTGACTCTTTTTTTAAATTCTACCATATATTCGCAATAAGATCATACTTGTTGAGGATTTCCTTGCATTGCTAAATGATGGGATGACTTTTTATTAACAGCCAGCTGTTGCTGATGTTGAGGCGACGAAGGTTGATGTTGAGGGCTATAGACTTGATATGTAACATTTCCTGACGCAGTATTGTTGGAATAGCCTGTGTATCCACTGTATTGCATTTGTTGTTGCGGCTGTTGTGTTTGCTGTTTTTGTTCATTTTCACCCGCACCTTTGCTTACCAGAGATGCTCTGTACGCCGCGAGAGCTTTCAAATATTCCTTCTTAGCTGCTTCGGTTTTCTTTTTGTAATACTACATAAAAGTTTATACTTTAACTCAGCAACAATAGGGTATTAATATTATAATTATACCAATATGTTGCAATTAAAAAACAGCACTCGATATAATCATCAAGTAGGTAAAAGAAATACATAAGGTAATTAAGATTTTAAATACTTACATTTTTATGTTCAATGTCTAATGCATCCCACATTGACGCGACAATTTTAGATACTTCACCGAAGCTGGCGTTTGGATGTTTTCCCTTAATTACTGCCTGAGTATCTCTAAAGAAAAGGGCATACGCTGACACTGGTCTGAAAATCAATCATCTCAGCGTTAGATTACAATTTTATATAAATAATAATGTTCACAGACATTAAATTATATTTAAAGAATTATGTTCAAAGTTTTCCGTAATCTATTATTAGTATTTCTATTAGTATCAATTATAATTCAAGAAAATATCTCAAATATTAAAAAAAAGATGACAAACAGCTTTGTATCGTAATAATCACCGAAATTCAACAGTGTCCTGACGGATTTTAATCTCTGTAACGCACTCCGCCATTACTTATTCTTCTTTTAATGGATTTTTGTAATTTCACAATTTACTAGGATCCTAAAGCCGTCTGTATTATCAACTAATCATAATTTTTATATAACAATTACTTTTTTCCTCTTTTACAGGTTCGAAAATTCTTTTCCAGGATTAAAGTATAAGCATTAACACGCGTCTGTGAGGTGAAGGTTATGTCGAGAACGACAAAAAATTTGTCTTAAAAGATTTCAATTTTGAAATTTTTTGTCGTTCTCGGCATAAATTCCACCTCACAGACACGTATTAATGGATCTTTATACTTTAATCCTGGCAAAGGATTTTCGAATCTGTAAAAGAGGAAAAAAGTAAGTCCTTGCAAAACATGTAATTTCATTTTAGGAGAAATATTTTTTTCTACGCTTTGAATCTTAATTCCACAAACTCAGTATTGTTCGTTCAAATAATCTGAATCCCGTTTCACGCTTATTTTCAATCCACAAGCTGTAAAACTTTTATATCAAGCAAATGGCAGTTGTACATGTTGTATATGTTGTGCCAGAAAAAATGAATTTTTTAATTTTTTTCCGATTTTTTCGTGAAATCGTGTTTTCCGGGATTTCTTTTTGTGCGTTCTTTAATTATGTAAAAAAATGTTGCAATCCATGAATTCAATTCAGAGATTTCTCCTAAAACATAATTATAGTAAAACAGGACGATTTTAGGATCCCCTTAAGGATATTTATAGTATATTTTAAATATAATTTAAAAAAAGCCGCTTTTTTCAAATTGCTGGAAAAAACCCGGAAAAATTTCGGAAAAAATCGGTTTTTTGGAAAAATTGCTATTTTTGCTGTATAAAAGACATAATAAATAACTTCCAAATTCCTTTATAAAATTAATGCGATCTATGAAATTATGTAGCATTATTTTTAATAAAATTTTTTAGTTATCCTTCTATTTTTATAGTCCTAACCTAGCTTAAGTAGACAGATTTTTAACTCTAGTTTGTCACACTCCGGTCTAATGAACTCTGAAAGAGGCTGAAGTGTCTCTTTGTAGTTTAGTTTTTTTCAAATATTTTGTTACGAATTCAGTTTAAATTCAAATTATTTTCTAAACCTACTATTATCATATAAACATGATGTTTCGACTCTATATTTTTAATTCTTACATTAATGATGCAATAGAGAATGTACTTTCGTATAAATATTTATACGAAAGTTAATGACGTATTAATAATTCTTCATACTTAATATTTGTTAAAATCTACTCATATTTGCCCTGTTCTATCGTTTTAATGTTTTTGACAAGAAATTTGTTCATCTAGTGATTCCAAATACAGCCATTGGACGTATATGGCTTTTGATGTTGGAAGAACTTCATGAAACGATTTTCAGATCTAGTGCTGCTGAATGGTATGATGTTAATCTTCATTTGAAAAACAATATAATTAAGCTACAATCATTAATACATAATCAATTCTCTTCGCTGAGGTTCTCTAATTTAATTTATTGAAATATGCTCGGTACAAATTTAGATATTTAGAGGATATCGATCTCCAGATTTTTAGAATCTCCTGCTGAATTTTTTTCACATTACATTGTCCGTTGTGTGTATTGTGTGAAGAGATTTCATTTATATTATGTGCGTGGTGTACAAAAACTGTGTTTTAAACATTTCTTCACAGAATTCCATTATTGTAATGATATTGTGTCATAAAAATAAATGAATTGCTCCTTATATTCAATTCGTTTGTTTTGGAGACCACTCAAGAATTTGATGAAACTTTGATGATTTTATTTTTTTCATATAACCAATTTGGAGAAGGTTTTTAATTTTTCTTAAAAAGCATTTCATGCGCGATACTTGTTAATACCTATTAAAAGTTCAGCGCCTCCTAGCTGCCAAAAAGGTAGTTCGGGCAAAAGGCAAATGTACGTTATACTACAGTTTTGACCCCTCTACACACCCACCAAGTTTCATCGAAATCAATTATTTACACCTAAAAACGTACCCTTGTTAATTTTTAATTTCATACATTAGTTTCTTTTCGAGGAGTAATAATTTTTAACAGAGAATTAAAACTGCCATTACTTGGATTGAAATAAGAATAGAGAATCTTCAATAAGAATATTTTTAAAAAAGAATAAAAACTGTTACTACTTGAATTAGAATAATAAAAAGATACGTATCACTTAGATTCTATTCGAGAAACACGTATATTCTTAGCGCCTTTCTTACCTTTTTTTAAAAAGATAATCTTTTATACGAATTTTTTGACAGAGCATTAAAGCTGTCATTACTTGCGTTGGGATAAGAGAATCTTCAATAAGAATATCTTTGAAGAAGAATTAAAATTACTGTTACTTGGAATAATAAAAAGATACATAACGCATCACTTAAGTTCTGTTTGAAAAGCATATCCTTAGCGCCTTTTTTTACGTTTTTTTAAAAAGGTAAGTTTGTACTAATATCACGCATTTTATATTAACAAATACCAGAATGCAATTTCGTTTCCGATCTCCCTTATTAAATATTACAGAGGCATCGTCTAAACTAAAAATGTAAAAATAGCATCTAAAATTTTAGTTAAATTTAACATAAATTTGTTTTTAAATTGTGTCAAAGCACTACGCTTCTTGTGTTAATTTTTTACATGTAATATTTGTGTTATCTACTTTTTAACATATTCATCTTATGTTAAATTAACACAAAAATTTGGGTGGACCATTTGGGACATGTGAAATGTGTTAAATGTAACACAAAATTTTTTATTGTGTAGTTTAGTTAACAAATACCAGCATATAATTTCGTTTCCATCCGATCTTTTTTTGTTAAATATTAAGTTATAAACAAATGGAGATGAAGGTCAAATAAATCGCTTTGGTTTACCATTTTCTAGCTTAGTTAAATATAATTTCATTTTCGTTCGATCTCTTTTTGTTAAATATTATAACGAATAAATCGCTTGTCATTTCCTAGCTTTGTTCTCGAAAAGTTCTCGACCCTTTCCCAATTTTTGCAATCGAGATATTAAATTCTAAAGCGCCGAATATCCGTCATGGATATTCGGCGCGCGGGGAGTGGTGACTGCCTGGCAAGCGCCCCGCGCCAAGCGTACACCGCCGCGAGCCTCTAAACGTCATAACTCGAACGTGCAGGCATCCGATCAGCGCCTCTAGCGCCATCTAGCACCAGATACTGCAGCCGTACATTCTGCTGGTCGACGTTAATAATGACGACGTTTCTTAAAATGATAAAATTCAGAGATTCAGAGGTTTGTGTCGCGATATTTCCGCTCGTAGGAAACGCAAATTCGCAGAAAAAAAATAAAAGCACTTTCATTGTACAACCCCAGCGGTAATTATCGATTGAGCGTATATAGAACTTCATCAGTTCAGTCGTTACTGAGAACCATGTCTCCAAATCTGCCGCAACTCACCGGCCGTAAAGGAGCACGCCAGTGCCTCGCGCTATGACGCTTTCCTTGTCTTAGCGCCGAGACATTACCGTGTCTCCAAATTTAGATAAATGAAAAAAATGATAGTTAAATCAAACTAATGGTTCTTGTATTTAATGAATATGTGTTTACATTCAGTAAATATTCCGCTAAGACTATTAAAAAAATATTTATAAAAATTTAGTAATTTTTTTCTCAGTATATAGACCTTATAATACGTACGTTATCTGCCTTATCAATTTTTGGGATTCCATATAACCTTGGTAATGTTGCATTCGTTGAATTAATAAAATTGTAAGTATAATCACTCACAAGTTCACGCTGTTTCCATGTTTCAACAATAACTTTAGTTCCCCCAAAATTTTGTTAATCGGATTATTTTTTAAAATTGAGTAAGTATTAGTATCAGATAAAGTTTCCATCTTATTGATACAGTCTGATTTATCAAGTGCTACTACAACGTTTCTCTTATCTGCATCAATAATATTTGTGGATCTTTAATAAACTGTTTGGTAACACTTCAAGAATATAAAATAATCATCGTTTACATTAGATATGTCTCTTTGTTACATTTTTAATGTTTAGTAAACATGGTAAAAATCTATTTCTATATATATAAACGTTTATTGATTGGTTTATTATTGATTTTCAATTTTGCTAAGTTATTTTCTATATTTTTTATAAATTCTATAGTAATAAATTCCTCGTTGCGGGGAGGGAGACAGAAATTTTCTCCTAGTTGCAGTAAACTTTGGACTTCCATGGGAAAATTGACACTCGTAAGATTAATAAATCAATTATTATTAAGATTTTTAATATCAAATGTTATTTATGATGTTTAATAGAGATAACAAAATGATGTTTAATAGAGATTATATTTAAAGAAATTATATTTTTTACTATTTTATAAAGATAAAAATATTACTTACTTCTGTGGCTCGTTAGGATCTCTCTTTTTCTTCTTTTTTTGGGGCTTCGTTTTTCTTTGATTCTTTGCTCCAACATCAGCTGCTTCGGGCGATGGTGGCTCACGCTTTACCATAGCAATCTGGAATAAGAATGAATATTTAAGAAATACCCAAAATCTCTTTTAATAAACTATCAAATGTTTTGGAAAAATTATTAATTACAAATTTATTTGTACAATCTTTCTTAGGATGGTGATATTAATGCAGCAGATACTAATTATACAAAAATGTTTTGAACTAAATTGCTACAGAAAGTATTGTATGTATAAAATATTTTTACATGTATTATGTAACATATTATCCTTTAATAAATATGTAAATAATAACTGATATCAATATGTATAATTATATAAAATATATATATGTATGTACATATGACACTTAAAAAATTAATTTAATATTCTCAGAAAAAAATTTCAACCGGATTTAATATTGGATATTAATGATATTCTCTATCTGGCCGGATAGTAAAAAAGGGCCACATAAAACCGAATATCGGATATTTCCCAGATATCCATAATATCCCTACTCCGAACGTCTAGCCTACATATATCTAACTAATCTACTTGATCTTACGGCTCTATGTGTTGAATCAACAACATCAGTCTGGAAATAATTCAATAACAGTATTAATGAAACAAATATGTCATACTCTTGTTTCAATAAGCAAGTATTTGCCTCGATTATACAGGGCGTTCAGCGTAACGGTCCGCACGATTTTTAGACACTTTCGACAGTTAAAAAAAAAGATTGAAGAGTGAGTGTTCATCTGTTTTATATAGGCTACAACATGCAATAAAAAAATATAAAAAAAATATTTTTTCATAAGGAAATCAAAGTCATCTTAAATTTTTTAAATAGCACCATACAATTTTTCGTCCATAATATTGTAGGAGTCTTCAAGACGAATTCAAATCATTGTCGAAATGTCACTTTTATTGATGTTTTATTGATTTTATTGCATATTTTATTAAATAAAATCAAAATTAAATACTAATCGAGCTCTCGAAATTAAAAAACAATAATATAATGTACGGACAATGAGAGCGTTACTCAGCGCGGTAATGGGTGCGCAATTTGTACAATAGTCTAATAATATTCACATAATATATATATTAAAAATGTACAGTGACTGTCGATACCAGCTTATTTGGACGTTTCGGTTTCTTTCAAACCATTTTCAGCAAATTCATTATCGTAGATGTATTGACAATAGTTGGAAGATGTTGGAATTATGTTCTATGTGAGACCGAGGATGAGTGTCTCTCTACTGTCTGGTTGGAAATTGCCCAATTTTTGTCTCTTCGCTGCTTAGTCAAGTGACTAACTGAAGAGTACAGGCATGATTGTTATTTGCAATGTAATGAATTCACAGTATGCTTATTTTACTCAACCTCCTTTTCCATAGATCACAAATCAGTGTTATTAGAGCGTAGTAAGTCAAATTATAAAAGATACGATTACAAGACTTAAAAATTTCCCGTTATTAAAATAAGTACAAGATATACAATATAACATGTTATCCAGATGGAAGTCAGACAAGCAATGACCGTCAAAATTATAATCTAAGAGACACGTCCGTAGAAATATAAATAGCTATACGTCATACCATTGTAATAAACAAACAAAATTAAAGGCGAATACATAATGTTATTATTTGAATATCTTTAAAATGCTCAAAGAGTGGTGCAAAAACTCCGTGTCTGATTGTAAATTCAAACTATTTGATTGCGGTTTTATATCCGATACACAGTTGTACACTGTAAAAAAATTCCGTATATTTACAAACATAATAGATGTAAAAGTTACATGATTAGTCCTGTAAATATAAAAAAGTCGTGCAATTTTACAGAAATTATGTAATTTCACAAAAATTATGTAAATTTGCTTTTATTGTGTAAATATATCTTATTTTATATGGAAAATTACGTAAATAGCATAATATGGATATTTTGAATATTTTCTGCAATTATCAAAATTTTTGTAATATTACGTAATATAGCAGTAATTTTTCGCGTATTGCTGTTAAACAAGTGTACGCACTTGTATGTGTGCTCCTTGAAGAAAAAAAATGACTTTTTTTCAGACCAAGCCAAGTTTGCTGGTGGCGCCAAGTTCTTTTACACACACATAAAAAATTTTATTTATTAAGGATCACTTGAGTTTTATTTTTTAAAGTAGTTATACAACATTAGTGTTTCAACGAAATATATTTTCTGTTTATGATGGGCGCAATTTAAAGATTTCACACATTTTTGAAAAAAATTATTACTTTAATAGTTTGGAAAATAGGTTTGGAATAGATTTGGAATAAAAAGCCATTTTTTTTTCTTCAAGGAGCACACATATAGTGCGTACACTTGGTGCCTTTCTTTTACCTCTTTGTAAAAAAGATAATTTTGATGTGATATCACGCATTTTGTACTGTTAACCGTATTGCAGCACTAAGTTTTTACTGTAAAAATTTTTTACTTGAAATAAACTTTTTCAGTTATACTTTTATTTTTTTGATTCCTTGTAGTTTACTGAGTTGGAATGGAAAAATATATGTCTCACTTGAATTGAAATAGGAGGACCTTTAAATGAGAATAAGAAGATATATACCACTTAGATTTTATTTTTAAGAAATAAAGTAATAGGATTAGAATATAGTTTTTGTACTCTGATTTTATTTTTTATAAGAAGTAGTCCGACAATAATGTTTGAAGAAAATGTGTATTATAGTTTGTAGTAGACTCAATTTAGAGATTTCATATATTATTTTTATTGTAAAAAATTATATATTTGAATTGAATAAAATAATAAAATGTTTTTGTATCATTAAAAAAAATATAACAGATATTTGTATGAACTTTTTAACATCCAAATTTTTACTTGTATGGTATATATGTATCTAATAATTAATTATTAGTCAAGTCTAAGGCCTCGGTGGTCTATAAAGCCTTAGGACGCTCGCCCGGAAAGAAAAAGATCCGGGTTCGACTCCCGGCCAAGATGATATTTTTCACAATAAGAATTAATTATTTACAGATTTTAATACGTTACTCAGCATTATTAAAATCGTTCGAAGATGTGAAAAAGCATCAAATTGTTAAATTGCTAGTCAATTTAACTCGTGATATTACTGCGGTAGTTTAGTAAAGTTAGCGTTTCAAGACCGAAAAATCATTTTGGCGCGCGTTTCAAAGGACTACATACATAGTATATAAATTCACGCAGAATCATACAAGCATTTAAGATCCAGCTAGACCTGACCGTTTAAGGCATTGATATATATTTATTTCTTCAATAACACTGTATAAAAAAGGCGTGTAAAATTGCATTCATTAAAAAATTTTTGTGTACAATCAGACCTATCATAGTGGGTAATTTTGAACCCCACTATAAGTAGTAAACTTCCATAAGTTTGCAAATTTGCAATATGTAAGCAAAACTAATTTCTTAATTTGTAATTAAGCAGATTGCAGAAGTAGATTTACAATGTGTATGTAAAGTTATAGGAACGACAATGTAACAATACTCTTTGCAATTGTACTATTATACGTTCGAATATTAAATTTACACAATATTATGTAAATGCACAAAATGTTGATGTAATAATAATTTAGGTATTTGTATGTAAGTTTAATATTTGAATATATAATAATATATAATATACCACCTTGATCAAAAAGTTCCCGGAATTATCACCAGGTGATGCTCTGAGTCAGCTGATTTGAGTTCTGTTTTTTTGGTTAGTCGAATACCATCCAACAGCCATCGAATTCACCCGATATGGCTCCCTGCGATTTTTTTCTGTTCGATCGAGTCAAAAAATCACGGATGTTGCAAATTCAACTCCATTTTTAAAACTGTAAAAAATCGAAAACCGTGCAGAGGTAGATGTACTCAAGACGGCGTAACTTTTACAAATGTCAAGCTATGGCGATAAAATTTGGTGGAAATGTCAATGATAGATGTGGCAACCTAACCAAAAAAACGGAACCCAAATCAGCCGACTCAGAGCATCACCTGGTGGTAATTCCGGGAACTTTTTGATCAAGGTAGTATAACAATTGCGAAATGTATTATCATGTTATCGTTCTTATAACTACACATACACATTGTAATCGTACTTCCACAATCTGAAAAATCAAGAAATTATTTTTATTTGCATATTGCAAATTACAAATGCATGGACGTTTACAACTATTACTCGTATAGTGGGTCTCAAAATTACCCACTATAATAGTTATAACTTTACACAAAAATTTTTTACAGTGTAATTAATAAACCATGTAAAACTATAAAATAATTCTACATAAGAATAATAAAGAAAGTAAGAAGTGTATGTAAAAATTAACAATTATTCTTTTTTAAACGTAACATTCAAATCAATTACATTGATTCAAAGTCAAAGTTGAATTTATTTCGAAATTAGTACCATCAACAACTTATTGAATTCCTGTTATTTTGTAATCAAGTTCCGTCAAATTTTACAAATATTTTATAAATATTTTATAGAATTAAATTCTATTCAATATTGATTTAACACAGGAAGTGTTCCTTCAATTCAACATTCTTTTAACCATTTACCATTATGTGCCATTAAGCCCGGTTTTTCATTATCTGGTTAACTTATAATTAGGCTTAACCTGATATTTTATCTAATAGGCTTCATCTATGATGATGTCATGTATGAAGCTTATTGAGTGAAATATCAGGTTAAGCTTAACCACAAGTTAAGTTCATTAACCAGATAATGAAAAACCGGGCCTAAGTCAAACTGATGTTATTATTTTTATACTGAAAGATTATTGTTACAAATAAAAAGATTAAAATTAAAATTAAGTCCAATAACAAATATAGTTGAATTATCTACTTATGTTTGTGACAACCCATACATACGTTTAATTGACTCAATCTATTTTTTTATTCATTTAACAGCATTCTTTCTTAGTGTATATTTATCGTGTTTTTATGCGTAATTTTAATATATACAACATTTGCTTTATGCTTTAAAAAACATAATGTTATTAGTTTCTAAATATATTAAAAGATCTATTTGTGAGACAAATTGCTCTCAAGCAAAATATTGCGTAAATCTAAATATCGTGTCAATACAGTGATCACGTCTATTAAGTTCATGCAGCCACTTTAATCGAGGCTTTAGTAACTTATACAGAAATTTAAAGCTCTTTTGTTGCTAATTTGTTGCTCAATTTCCAATTTTGTTGTTTCAATTGATCTAGAACACAGTGCCTGTGCTAACTTAAGGTTAAAGTTTGAAGTTGAAGACGCAAGTTCAGCATCCACGCGCGGACAAAGATCGAATGTGTGAAGACAAAGTCCGTTACAAGGTATGATCATATATGGTTACATCGATCATCAAAATGCAAATGGTTCCTTTATATTTGGCCGCTTAATTGTGAGTAGCGGGATTTTGTATAATGAATTAAATTAACACGTTATGCGCTATGCGAGTGTCCGGTATCATATAATCCGATAACAGCGATTGGTTACGAATTAGTAATCGCGAATGCGAGAAATTATAAGATAACCTGTCTTTAAGTAATAATATTAACATAGCCACGGGGATCAATTGTAACCGAATTATAGCAACGGGAAAATTAATTTATAAAAGGAGAAATAATTGTGAAGTGTTGAAGCTACGAAAGTAAATATCTTTTCGTGATTTACCAATTAGCGCTCCTCGTGAGTCCTAATACTTTAGGCGGAACCAACTCAGGAAATTTTTTTTATGGCATCGAAAGATACAACAACTTATTGACAAGTCATATAAATATTTCAAGTATGTCGAATTCTAAGAGTGTTTCTTAGTTATGTAGCTAGGGGTTTTTAAGGAATCGGATTAATCGCAAATTGCAAGCAACAAAATTAAGGGAATGTGATCAATCAAAATACCTAATTAATTTACATCTTTGGGTGCGTTCCACTTAACGTTCGCAATGCTCGCGAGCATCATTTCATCCTTATCGTTTACAAATATTAAACAAGGATGAAATGATGCTCGCGAGCGTTGCGAACGTTAAGTGGAACGCGCCCTTTGAGATGTCGTGGTGATGTAGGTTGGCTATATAAAGATGGTTTTTAGGAGTGTAGGATGGAGTGACAAAATCGAGCAGCAAATTAGCAATTAATTAGCACTACAAAAATAAGTAGTACGTTTTTACTTTTTAACTTTTTTTTAATAGCTGTGCTAATTTTAACCTTAAGTTAGCACTATTTTCTACAAATCAGCTGCAGCAACAAAATCGGAAATTAAGAAATAAATTAGCAATAACAAAACACTAAATTTCTGTGTGTTTTATTCGATTGTGCTAAAAGTAGCTATGCCAGCTTAATAGACGTTGAGATCCCAAACAGCACAATATTTATAAAATATGCAATAAATATTTACAAAATATTTATAAGACTTATTTTTAGTAATTTGTAAATATTTTTATGGTCTTAGATTGCACAAATCATAAATATTTATTATAAATATTATGAAATATTTATTGTAAATGTTGTAGTAAATGCTATGAAAACACTTAATAAGACATTATAATCCAAATAAGAGAATACTAGAAATATTTATTTATATTTATCATAAATATTACGTAAAATATTTATATAACATTCAAAAAAATGAAGTAATAAATATTTATCATAAATATTCTGTGCCGTCTAGGATTTAACTCACCATTCCAGAATGTGGAGTGCTATCATCACTATCTTCGCTGGTCGTAGTATTATTATTCGTCTCCGGGATATTGTTTGCTTGCATAGTAGTCGGACTGCCTCCGGTAGGACTTCTATATTGCATTTGTTGCTGTTGCTGCAATTGCTGCTGCTGTTGCTGCTGCTGAGAATGCATATACTGCATATGTTGCATTTGAACCTGTTGCTGCTGTTGTTGCAACATCAATAATTGTTGGCCGCTATGTTGTTGATGACGTGGAGAGCTCATTGTCGCATACGAACTTTGTGAGTTGCCATATGCCGAACTATAAACAAATGAAAAAGAAGATCGTTTATAAAAAATAAATTTCTTTCGAAGTCAGCAATTAATCGCTATTATATAATCAAAAGGTGGAATATGTTCATAAATAATTAAAAACACTATTCATGGTAAACATATTTATGATTACATTTATTTATTTGAGATAGAATATTTCAATGTTTATGCGGTAATTATTTAGTTTCGGGGACCCAGTTCTAATGACCTTGACATCTTATCAAGGTCATAATTCTGAGTAACTTTGCCTTAATATCTCGGAAATTATAAGAGATCGCCACTTAGTTAAGGCAGAGTTATAGTGTAATTTTGATAGAAAATTTTGATGGTAGAACTATATAAAAGAGAAATAACCTCAATTGATCTTAACTTTCACATATGTTGTCAAGGTCATGATCTGAAGTAACTTTCAAAAAGTTTTAGGCGGTTACTATTCGTTAAACAGTTATTAACAAAAAATGTGTAGCAAATAAAACAAAATGTCTGCTTGTACAAATTATATAAGGGTTGGATTAAGTTAGGATTAAATCGGGGTGGGAGTGCAGAGGGAGGGCCGGAACCCTTCCCCCGCCCACAAGTGTTCTTCCCTTCTTTGCTTCTGGAGCGAAACAAGGTCAACCAACAATTGTTTTATTACAAATAGTTTCGTGTAGAAAGAACACGTGTGGGCAGGGGAGAGACTCCGCCTTTCTCCCTGCACCTCCACCTTGATTTAACTCTAACCTAACCTAACCCTTATCTGATTGTGAGGTGGATCTCGGTTCGCGTGGAATGTCGCACGCCCTTAGGCAAGGAGGAGATGGGATAGAACTCGCTTCGCGTGGAAAGTCATGTGCTTTTAGGCAAGGAAAGAGATGAGGTGGAAGTCGCTTCGCGTGGAAAGTCGTATTTCCTTAATGGGATGGACCCTCGGTCCATCCCATACCTCTCTCTCTGCTTAGAGTTATCTAATTTTTCATAAAGTAGGGAAATAATTACTAACTTTAGCTGTGTTCGGAGAGACGCTATTAGCGCTGTTTGTGTCATTCTATCTTCATTGTCTACTAGACGTGAAACAAGGATAGCATGACACAAATAGCGTTGAATGTGCTCCCCGTACCCAGTCTTTGACTGTTAATAACTTTTTAACGTACAGCGACCATCATCTAAAACATGTTGGAGGTCACTCAGGATCATGATCTTGATAATGTGTATCCAGGTCATAGGAACTGGATCCCCAGAACTAAATAATAACCAAAGTGAAGTCAAAATTCAAGTATATTTATTAAAATAAGTCCCATGGAACACAATGCTCCTGCAGTAGGTTGTAGTATGTCCTCTAAACATCTTTAGGATATCTCTTGGACAACTATGTTGTGTGGGATAATCTCTTGTATACAATCATAGTAGACTTAGGTTGCATTCCGTTATACGTATGATGCGCATGATGCCTCATTTATCCTTATTTAATATTTAGTGAACAACAATGATATATGATGCATTACGCGTATCATACATGAAATGGGACGCACCTATAGAATATTGGAGATATTTAAAATTTATAAAATAAAGCAACAGATTAAAATGAGAACATGAAATGCAATAGATAACATAATGAGATGCAAATATTGAAAAAGAATTTTTTCATCAATAACAAGTAATAAATTGTATGAGAATAAAAAATCGAAAATGGACAAATCTCCAGTAGCAACATACATGACACGCGTCAAGCATTTTGTTTATAATTTTAGAATAAGAATTGCTAAGACAGTCGTTTTCGTACGACTTGTTAATAGTATCGTATAGATATCAATAACGATTAAAATTAATTACAATTTATTAAAGTTTTAAGAATTTTTACGACCGACTGCTGCCAACTGAAAGTTGGCGAAAACGGAGGGAGCGGATCGGTACTGACCGATAATATCCATAACTACAATGTATATTCTTATCCACTTTTGGTTACAGACTTCTTATTGATCAAGTTTGGTTTATAGCACATAATTATCATTAACTGTATTGTCAATAAATAAAAGTATTTTCGTTAACATGAGTTTTTGATTGGTTAGAAATGAGTTCTTGTTGTATGCACGTTCTTTAATTGGATGTCGGCTGAATCTAGGAACTAAATCGATTAACCAATGAGATGTATTGTCAGTAGGAAACTTTAGTGACTCTCAGTTAGGGTGCGATTACATGGGTTGATATTTTCCGCATAACGCGTTTCGCATAATCAGAAGCGTTCCGCGCTTTCTGTTACGCCTGTTTTAAATGCCATCGTTCACATGGACACATAATTTGCGTAAAAAATATCCGCGTAACCAATCAACTGTAACATTTAGCATTTCTGTTCGAATGTTTTAACAGAATAAAAAAATATCATTGGTTAAACGCTATACGCTGCTGCCGTTTTATGTGCCTTGTGCATTAAGGACATTTAATTCCGCGTAACAAAAACCGCGGAATGCCTCTGATGTTATTGTTTCGTAAGTTGAGTAACCTAAAAGAAAATAATGAATTCGGAATTATTATCTATTATTGCTTTACAAAAGCAAAGAATAAATAAAACAGACAGAATGTCATTCATAAAATTAAAGAATAAATTAATTACTTTTTTTTACTATGCAAAGAAAATGAGCGAAACAAAATTGTAAAACGAAAATATTGGTTTTATTCGATTTTTTCAAACGAAAAGTGACAACGGTACGGAGCAAGTACAATATATGCATAGACAATAGCATGGAGCAATATCAGGGTATATGGCACTATTCGGAATGGATTCCGATTGAAATTATACAATTATTTCTTAGATTTTTATTATATTTTCTATAGGGAAAACAAATTAATTCCAATTCCAGTTCCATAAATACATGCCCTGAATAAATATAGGTGTAATGCAAAAGTAACAAAAAAGTTCTGAGCTTTTTTTTGTAAAATTCAATCTTTATTCAAAAACAAACGAAAAAATATTAATCCGCGAAATATTCTCCGTTTGCATCAACGACCTTTTGCCATATTTCGGGTAGCTTACGAATTCCTTGACGATAGAAACTCATCGGCTTCGAAGCGATAAAGTCATCAATGCATTTTCGTATTTCTTCTAATCTCACGAAATGTGTATCAGCCAAATGATGCTGCAGCGACCGGAATAGGTAGTAATCGGAAGGCGCCATGTCTGGGCTATACGCCGCGTGCGGAAGAAGTTCCCAGCCTAACGCAAAGATATGGTCCTGAGTCGCTTTCGCAACATGTGGTCGAGCATTGTCATGAAGCAAAATCACTTTACTTCCTTGGCCAGTAAATGGCCTCTTTTCTTCTAATGCATCGCTCAAATTGGTCAATTGTTGTTGGTAGCGGTCTGCCGTGATTGTTTCACTCGGTTGTAACAACTCGTAGTACAACACACCTTTCCAATCCCACCAGATACAGAGCAAAACCTTCTTGGCGTGGATATTGGGCTTTGGCGTCGATGTCGAAGGTTGACCAGGATCAACCCATGATTTTCTACGTTTAGGGTTATCATAAAGAATCCACTTTTCATCGCCTGTAATGATTTTGTGCAGAAAATCTTTTTTCTGGAACTTTGAAAGCAAAGTGAGTGCAGTGTCACGCCGTCGATTTTTGTTGTCTTCGGACAATTCATGCGGAACCCATCTGCCTTCTTTCTGAACCTTTCCCATCGCACGTAATCGTACGGAAATGGCTTGCTGCGTAACGCTAAGCTGTTCTGCAAGCTCCTTTTCAGGTTGCACAGAGTTTATATCCAGCAGTGCTTGCAATTCGTCCGTTTCAATCTTTTCAGGGCGTCCAGCACGCGATTCATCTTTAAGACTGAAATCTCCTTGGCGAAACTTTTGATACCATCTTTTACATGTAGCATGACTTACAGCGTTCTCTCCATATGCAGCACAAATCATTGCAGTGGCTTCAGCAGCATTTTTCTTCAGATGAAACGCGAAGTGGACGCAAAATCGAATATGCTCTTTTGTTATTGCCATCGTGAACACTACTGATTTTTGATGTGCATCAAACGCCAAACCGTATGGCATTTTAGAAGGCCAAATGTTAACGCTTTAAAACCGCAAAAGGGTGGGAAGATATATAAAATTTAAATTGTTATTTCGGTTGTATGAAATCTAAAGCTCAGAACTTTTTTGTACACCTATATAAATTTTTAAATTTATATATACATACTATTAATTATATTTTTTATTTCTTCCGACAATATTGCTTTTCTCTTGCTTTAGATCTTTCTTTAACATTTAAACAGTGATTATATAATTGGTGGCCTATCTATGACCGTCCTAATAAGACGGTTCATCCGAATCTTCGTTAGAACTATCAAAATAAGATAGTTCATTTTCGTCTGATCTATTAACTATAACAAAAAAATTCAATTATGTTAGTGAATTTCATATAATATACAAAATGATACATATAATAGATATACATATTTATACCAATAGTTGCAATATTATTTTCGTCAATTTTTAAAGTGTTTTTATTTTCATTGTATCTTTTAAAGCAGTTATGTTGGAATATATTTTGAGATTGTTGTGCTATGAGCCAGCAATAGCCACATTTTATTTGCCGTAAACAAAGATAATTATATTAACTAATTAATCCTTTGCAGATTAATCTTCTCTATTTTTCTATACCCCGATAGCAAAGCCTGCGGAGACAGATTTTGAACAGAGCCTGCTGCTACCAATTTTTGATTGCAGAAAGGTACCAAATTGTATACAGAATTTGTATTATCTGACATTGACAGCAAATCGCTGCCAGAAATATAACAAAGCCTGCTAGACATGCTATGCCAGTAGATTGATAGCAGAAACCGAGCAAAGTCTTGCATAATCTGACGACAGATTGAGAGCAGAACCTGATTCGAGCAGACTCTGCTTGGTTTCTGTCACCAATCTGCTGGCATAGCCTGTCAACAGGCTTTGTCGACAAATCCATAGCCAAATGCGGATACAGATGGCTATGGTTTTGTAGTCAAAATCTGATGGAGTTTGCTGCCAATTTGGCTCCAAATTGCTATCAGGATATTTAACCTGATCGGATCATTGCTGCTTTTCAAAAAATTTGTACACATACACAATTTTATATTAAAAGAACTAAAAATTCCAGTCTCTTTTATACATTCCCCTGACTTTTTCTGGTTTTCCATAACCAATTTCAATTTCCCTGACTTTTTCCGGTTTTCCAGGTCTGTGGAAACCCTGTAAATAATTGAAAAAACTAAATAAAGATTCATTCCTTCACTTCCCCTACTTCTCTCTCTTTCACTCTACAAAGTTTCTTTCGATTCCACAGCATTGATATTCTTCGTCTCGCCTAATTTACAAAGTCACGAGCTAGAATTTGATTGAAAGCAAATTTTTTCCACTTTTTATATTCTCTATTAATCGATTCACGATATTGCCCTCGTGTAGATAGACAATTGAAAAGTGCATGAATTTTATGTGTAAAAGTATCTAATTTATACCGTTGAATATTAACAGTAACTCAAGAATAAACTCACCTGACATTGATCGCTTGCATCGAATGCTCTTGCTGTAAATAGAGCTGTTGCTGATATCCATTAGTGTCCAGATTGAGACCATCCGACGATTGTTGCATACTGCTACCTTGAATCATCTATAATGATTTAATATAAGTAAAGAACGCAAATAAATAAATTCCTACATAACAAATTGCATAATTCATAAAAAAAATTCTTAGCTGCATTTAGATCATTCTTTTTATTTTTTTGTTTTAAAAATATGCAGATCATAAAAATAATACGTAGGCACGAAGTGAATATTCAAATTATTTGCTTTTTCCCATATTAATATAAATATATATATATATATATAAATCGTTGAGAATGATGTGCTATGAAATAATATTACATGATAATGTTATTTCCCTTTTCTCATTGATAAAGATCATAGAATTTCTTCTGCACGTTTCAACATCTTTTTATCTCTTTATCTCCAGGTCAAAACGAGACGGAGAAAATGATGAACGTGCGTCTAAAAATAATGTCTTGAATATTACATGAATAATGCTCAAATACGGAAGTTGTTAAGTGGTTGATACATCATTCTGATATTATTCCTTTATTTTTCTTTATCGCGTAATACGGGCGTGTGCGTGCGTGCGTGCGTGCGTGTGTGCGTGCGTGTGCGTGTGTGTGTGTGTGTGTGTGTGTGTAGTACACACATACATGCGTACATCATTATGTATTGTTAAGTGTTAACATATTAAGTTTATGATATGTTTGTTTCACGAAAATAAGCATTCAATAAATAATTGATTAAATAATAAAGAATATGTAGGAATATTTGAGAACATTTAAAAAATTGTATCCTCAAAGTAAGAAGATCATGTACTTTGTAAATTTTCATAACGCGTATTCTTGGTAGTTATACCTTAATTATGCGAGTCAATGACAAACTCAAACATGTCCCTAAATTTCAAGCAAATATATCGCTATATAAAATCTAAAAATAATGAAACGAAGTATTTTATATACTTACAATATTAAATCATAATAAAATAAGTTAATTTAAGAAACTTCCCTATTACGTAGTAAATAAGAGGAATTAGATCGTGGCAACGTCGCCAATCATTTTTGTGAGTAGACGAATATAGGTACGAGTTACCTGTCAAGATATTTATACGAAAGAAAAAAATGTCCGCACAATTGCGTTATAAAGAAAAATATATCAAAAGTAATTTTAGCAAAAAAAAAAAAAAACGATTCTCGCGAAGAAACGACAAGAAAGTGAAAGACAACCTCCTTGTTGTTGGTCCTTGAAAGTGCGATTGTCATATCTAATAGACATCCTCAGTTCTCGAGAAAATGTACAATCAAGATTTTTTATTGACACAAACTTTAATATCATGTCATAAATATTTGCGGTGTTGTTACACGAGTTTTCTCACGAATTTAACTATTTGAGATTCGTTTTTCATTAACTTTTTGAATGTGATTTCGAGGCTATATGAAAATTCGTGTCGTATCAAAGCAAAAATAGCTATACTATAATGATAGATATAGAAAAATCTGCGATGTTTAATCGGTTATATATCAGAAATGGGACGATAATTCGAGCTCATCTTTTACAGACATATGTATTAATATCTAAATTACTTGAGACGAAAATTTCAAGACATTCTTGAATAATTTTGGGGTATAACTATTTAACTACTTTAATGAATATTTTTTTCTTTCTGTCAGTATTTTTAGAATATTTTTTTGTAAGAATATAGTCTAACTTCATAATATAATTGGCGATCTATGCCGCGAGTATTCTGTACGTTTTTTTTACAGAGCAGTACGTCTTTTTGCGATAGCGACATTTGTCGACAGTCTGCAGAAAAAAAGACCTATAGTTTAAGTGTAGTGCTATGTTTATAGCAAAACTTTAATAGACCAACGGAAGGGATGGATGAGAGAGAAAATAATAAAGTGGAAAAAGAAAAATTAATTGATTTGATGTAGGTGTTTATAAGTAAGTTTCCAAAATATATTCCTTTTTTAAAAAAGGTCATCCATTTTATAGGTATCCTGATTTTTCATGCCGGTTATATAGTAGTTTTACTTAACAATCACTGTTGACATAATTAGATTAGTAGGTCATCAGATTAATACTACAGACATTATTTAATTGCATTTAAAATAAAAGGTTTAATCAAAAGCATTGATCAAGGATTAAATCGCTGAGAACATTGCGATATACAAATTCGGGGCATTTCTAGGCATTACTTGGTCATTATTAGGCATTTCTTAGGCATTAGTGAGCATTATTAGGCATTGCTTAGACATTAATGGACATTATTAGGCATTGCTTAGACATTATCGGGCATTAGTGGGGCATTAATGCGCATTATAGTGGGAATTCACTGAGCAATATTACGTTTTATTTTTAAACTGACAATTGTTTTATGTCAAACATATTTACAAAATACATAATAAAGTGTGAATATTAAATTATACAGATTGCGCTCTCACGATGTTATCCATGGGATACAGTAGGTAATATCCCATGTGGATAACATTGCTGTTATTGTCCAGTTGATCCAGCGCTGCTATCGGTCAGTGATGCTATCGGTCAGCTAACGACGCTAGCGTTCGTTTTATCTCAGGTTTACCAGGTGTGAAGCAATTCTGCTTAATGATAATCACAATTTTGGTTGTGACAATCGTGATACGATTCACTATATCATCACTACATCACGACCATTCACTATATCAGTGATTAGAGAAAGAGAAAAACCTCAGGCTAGATAAGCACTATTTGTAAAAATAAATGTACTATAACGCGACAGAGAGCATCAGACGAAGGATCGTTTCGCGTAGAGACCCTCTAATCAGAGTCGTGACATGAGATGATTTGAGCCGACTTTTGTATGCAGAGTAATAGTTTTAACAAAATCGATAACCGAGAGAAATATATTAGTAATATTAGTATCTCTGTCTAACCCTAACGCGACGTTAAGGTTAGACAGAGATACTAATATATTTCTTTCTGTTATTGATTTTGTTAAAACTACTACTCTGCGAAAACAAAAGTCGGCTCAAATCGTCTCGTGTCGCGACTCTGAGAGAATCTCTAGTTTCGCGCAATCCTCTTTTTCGAATTTCACGCATATCGGCTGATTTTCGAATAATCTAGCTAACGAATTCATTACACGTCTGCGAAGCTAGCTTATCATATGTTGGCATTGCATAAAATAACAACAGTTCTGCTCGCATGCACTGTAATTCAACAGTCCTAGATAGGTTTTAGCAATAATTCTATCGACTTGCGTCAAAAAACAATGTTTCAAAATATGAGATGCTAACTTTGCATCTCACCATCCAGCATCTCACTGGAATTCGAACATATGAGCTGTAAAGTACGAAAATACAAAAAGTTCTATAGTTAAAACCCGTTATATCATTAGTTCTGGCTATAAAAACCAAAGAAATTATCCGATAACGGTACATATGGGCACATACAGCTGATATGCTGGCCGAATCTAACGAGTTTTGATTTTTATCCATTAAGGTGTCCGACCGACAGCTAAAACCTCCTGAATATTGTTCAGGATCATGTCCTGGATATCGTTTGTCAAGATCAAAGCTATTGGAAGTTGTACTTATAATTTCCATTTTTATGTAAAAATGAAATTGTAGTATATGGAGTCAGGGTAGATGGCGCCAGGGATACGAGGGTGGAGCGCGCGAGACTCATGGCAAAATATAACGGCTGTTTTGATAGATATACACATGGCTGAGAGGATTCAAATTAATGTTTATTTTGTATTAATAAAGATACTTATATTGATATTAGCTTAATAGAAACCGAGTATTCATTTCACTATTTGAAACACCACAGAATTTTTAGTGCAAAAATAGAAATAAGAGGAATAATCTCCAATGGCCTTGACAAATGTTATCCAGGACATGATCCTGAACAACATTTAAGAGGTTTTAGCCATCGGACAACTTGGGTAATGCTAATGCCGGCTGTACTTTCGAGCCTTATAACTCGAAAAATACTTAATGAAAAAATATTTTATTATAGTGTGTTTTGAAAAGCTCTCGAAGTAAGCTATAAGAATATGTAACGAAAAATAGGAAGTTCCATTTAAAAAAATCGACGTGACCATGACCTGACTTTGACGACGCCACTCAAGGTCAAAGGGATGTGTGATCAGTGAATAGATCTTTTTAAACCCTACAAGTTTTGTCTGAAACATTTTTCTTAAAAATGCTTTGCTTTCGAGGTATTCGACCGTTTCCAGACTTTTGACACACCCTGTATACACGTAATATGCTGACCGACTTTTAAGAGTTCTGATTATTCCATCGCAGTTCTAGTGTAGTTCTGACCTCAGAATCGGCCAGAATATCAGCTGTATGTACCCATATGTATAATTATCGGGTAACTTCTTTGGTTTTATAGCCAGAATTATTGATATAATGGGTTTTATATATAGAACTTTGTATATTCTTGTATTTTACAGCTCATACATTCGAATTCCAGTGAGATGCTGGATGGTGAAATACGAAGTTAGCATCTCATTTTTTTGAAATATTGTTTTTTGACGTAATTCGACAGAATTATCGCTAAAACCTATCTACAACTATGCGAGTAGAACTGTTATTATTTCACCAGCTAAAATAGAGCGCCTCAGTGAGTACTTTAAAATATAAGAAAATTATTTATCTATCAAGCGCGTTGGAGTAAGTAAGAGCTGGTAGGAGCATATTGGAACATGTTGGAGCATGCGACGCGACAAACCTAAAAATTTCTATCTGACCTTACAGAGTAGAAATACGTATCGAAGTTTATCGTAAATTTAATATACAAAATGAATTATTACCAATATCTTTAAAAAATTAGTTTGTAGTACCCCTCTGGTGTAAACCTTATGCAATACTTCATGTGTATATGTTATATTGTAAACACTACATATGTACTATATGTGTGTAATGCATTTATGCATTATTTTGACGAAATAAATATATTCTATATCAATTTTAAAAGACATCAGTATAGATTATCCCTGGCCAGGCCGAGCCTTTGTAAAACCTTAAATCTACTGGGCAAGTCGACAGCCGACCTATAGCCCCGAAAGACGAGGGGAGCGGTGCACTTGCACACAGTTCAATTACACACTCACATCGACCTGTTCCTAGTATTTTCTTGTTTTTACTTTACTGTTTTACCAATGAATATATCATTTAATTTAGCCAATTAGCAATGTGGGCAAATGATATACACCCATAGAGTGGCTTTTCGGCGCTTCTTTCATGGAAGAGGTCAAGGACCCGACCTTGCAGATTGGTCTCCCGCTCACACTTTTTCACCGGCGCAGGCCTGTGAGAAAATGTTCGAGTCTTTACCAAGGTTCCTTCTAAGGAATCAAGGCAACTTCTAAGGTCATTCCTCAGCTGGAAACGAAGGCCCAATCGACATGGAAACAAGCCTAAGGAAATGCAAAAGCATGTCTATCAGTCGAATCAACCGTGCCCGAATCAACTGTACTATAAGCGGGGGCTCACTAGTCCAGGAATTGTTAAATCCGGTAAGAACCGCAGACTGACTGGCTAATTTTTTGTATACATTGAGAGCTCTAACATCGGACTCAGAGGCTTTGAGCACCATCCGAAGATACAAGAGCCCTTTTTACTCGCTGCCTCCTTTGCATTCCCAGCTCAGGGAACCAGTTTTCTCTGCCACAACTTCTGTCCATTGTAAAGTGGAAATCGAGAGACTGTTAGAGAAAGGGACCATTTACTCGGTATAATCTTCGCCAGATCAGTTTCTTTCCTACTTCTTTCCGATAAGATGCCTGAGAGCATCTTATCCTAAATGCGCTTTATCCTAAATTTAAAGCATATTAACACTTACATTCGTCCCTCTCATTTTAAGTTAGAGGACTGGCGAACAGTTGTACGTCCAATGCTCTCGGATGTCGAGATAGCTTCCTTCGATCTGGAGGACGCTTACATATTATTATCGATTCATTCTTCTTGCAGGAAATATCTGAAATTTCAATGGCAACGCGCCACTTATGAGTCCTTCCATTCGGCCTGGCTACGGCTCCATATATTTTCATCAAGGTTTTGCATCCAGTGGTTGCGTCTCTTCGTGCCAAAGGCTACGAGTCGGTTTTGTACCTCGACGATTTTCTCCTTTTAGCCCATCCGAAAGAGGCCTGTCGTCGTAACATCCAAGAGCATATCAGCACCTTTCGGAGTTGAGCTTCATTTTTAACTTAGGAAAGTCGGAGCTAGAACCCGCGCGGCGTCACAAATACCTGAGGTTCATCTTTGATTCAGAGGCTCAGTCAGTCTCGATCCCGGAATCCCGTTGGATTAAGTTATATTCGCTTATTTCGAGTTTCTCAGCCAAATCTCTGTTCGATCAAAGATTTTGCGAGTATGATTGACTTCCTTATTGCCGTTTGGCCTGTGATAAAGTACGCTTTACTTTACACTAAGGCATTCGAAAGACGAAAGTTTTTAACTCTCGAAAAAAATCGAATAACGATTTTAATGCGAAAATGTCCATCTCGTCGGATCTTAATGAAGATTTTCGTTGGCTTAATATTTTGGCTGATAAGCTCTAAGTAAACTTTATCCTAACGGGCCATTTCGCATGCGAAATTTTCTGATGACTCTCTTACGGGCTGGGACGCATCTTCGGCCCCAGATCCGACTCACGACTAGTGATCGAACGAGGAAAGGCCTTGCGTATCAATACGTTGATGCTTAGGGTCACCTTTCACGGATTAAAATGTTTCGCGTCTCATCTCAGCGATTGCGAGATTCTTCTGAGGATAGTTAACATCACAGCGGTGTCTTATATTAATCGTTTCAACTCAGTTGAATACCCCTACTTATCATCTCTTTCTAGAGAAATTTGGCAAGCGAAGCTAAAGATATCGGGCTGGTCGCCTCCTACATCGCCTCTGCCGGTAACATCGTGGCGGATGAAGAGGCTTATTGCCAGGACGCAGACACTGAATGATCTTCGTTCAGGGAGGTTTTTCGGTTAGTTGACAGGGAATTCGGCCCCTTCGATGTCGACTTCTTCGCTTCCAACATTAATATGAAATGTGACATTTTTGTCTCGTGGTTCCCGGATCCGGAGTCCTTTGCAATCGTCGTTTACTCTCGACTGGGGGGAATTTTACTTCTGTGCCTTCCCCTCTTTAATTTTACTTCCCCGGATTCTATGGAAGATATTATTAATGATGGAGCGGAAGGGATTGCGATCGCTCCGTGGTGGCCATCGCAATCTGGTTTCCTCTTTTCAGGCGTCTCATTATCTCGGGTCGGATCATTTTAAATCCACGAATCTCTATTGTTAGATTCTCTCACAGAAAGATTAGTCTTGTTACTAGCACTAGCGTTGAGCCAGCGTTGCTAAAATCCTAGCGGCAATTCGCGTCTCGCAAGTTTCGATCTATGCGGAGAGGATTCTCATTCGCGTCCCGGACCGATTAAAGATCTCGGCTCCAGATTGACCTCAACCTTTGGTATCTTTTCCTCGTTTCGAGAGACACAGCAATATATGTCTTGTTACTTCGGTCTTTCATTATTTTTCGCGGATTCGGGATATTCGCTCTTGGGCCTGCGATTCTCTTTTTATCGCGCTGAAACGTCCACACACAGCGATACGTCCACCCATAAACGATTAGTCGCTGGATAAAGTCCACCTTATCGGATTGCGGAGTTAGCGATGCCTTCTCCGCACATAGCACGCGGTACGTGTCAACATCGCTCGCGGGTCGGAAAGCGGTTTTAGCGGAATAACTTTTTAACGAATAACAAGCAATGGCTAAAACCTGTTGGAGGTCACTTAGGGTCACGATCTTGATAACATATGTCAAGGTTAAGGTCATCGAGATGGGTCCCCTCCATCGGCACATTTACCAAAGACGCTAATAGAAAAATAGAATATAATTATATGATAATTATATGAACATTCAATTTAAAATTTGGTCTCGTTCTACAACAGAATATAACGTATTAAAGTATATAGGGCAAATGAAAGTACGGCACGGTAATTGGTGCTCAAATAATGTATTTATATATAAATTTTTGTAGCATAAAAATGTATTTAACTTGCTTCACAAATCGAACGTTTCGGCCACATTTAGGGTCATGCATCAACGAAATACAAGGTAACAGCAAAAAATTCTCGTACTTTTGCTTAACAAGCGAGTTACGCAAAAGTCCCTGCTCAGTTGCATGTATAAATGGTTATATGTATAGTAACTTCTCTTTTTTTATTTAAAGAGTAGCCATTGAATTCTTTTATTAAAATTTTTATGTTTTTATTTATTGCGGACCAATTACCCCACCGTACTCTCATTTGTCATATATTCTTTAATATTTTTTCAAATTTTGAGAGTCTTTAATAAGTGTTTTTTATTAGAATATAATGTAATACAAAAACATATAATAGAATATTCATTCTAACATTGTTGAATTGAAGCATACCTGTGGCTGACCATATGCTTGCATGGAGTCATGTTGTTGATGATGTTGCTGCTGCTGATGCGACTGAGGATGAATAGTTGGTATGTCAAAGTCTTCGTCACCGAAACTTGGCGTGTGAAACGTCTAAAACAAACAAATTACGTAAATTGAATTTCATTTTATTATATAAATTTCATAGAGAAAATAAAAATTTACGTTCTTCTTATTGCAATATTACTTTTATTATTTACGTGACTTTTTATCGTCAGCGAATACTGTCAGTATTACACAAACAAAAAGATTTTACTATTGTTGTTGTAATCTCTGTGTGTAAAACAATTGGAAGAACGGTGAAGATAAAAAGTTTCAGGGAAAGGTCATTTCAAAGAAAAGAAGAGGTCGATGTGATAGTGAAATCAAAGAATCTATCTTCCAATGCCTCAATGGTAGATGGTAAATATAATAATAACACAACAAGAGTTAAAGCCTATAACTGTCGAAACGGGATCTTAGATCATTTCTGTATGAATTTATACATATGTAGTCATTTGAACTGTGCGCCGAATTGGTTTTCGAACTTAGAAATGCAACTGAACTACTGTAGTAACATCACAAATTAAATTGACAAGCAATTTAATAATTTGATGCTCAATCAGACATCCTATTAGAAAGATGTTAATGTGTCGAAAATCTGTAAATAAATTTATTGCGAAAAATATTTCTTCGACCGGGATCGGTCGAACCCGAATCTCTAGTATTTCATGCGAGCGTCCTAAGCTTTTAGAGTATTGAGGCCTTAGTAATATTCGCAATAAATTTATTTACAGATTTTCAGCACATTAATATATCTCTAACAGGATGCCTGATTGAGCATCAAATTATTAAATTGCTTGTCAATTTAATTTGTAATATTGTTACAGTAATTCAGTTGCGTTTCTAATAGCGAATTCGGCAAACGGCACTAGTGCGCACTGAGTGCGAACTTTTTCAGTGCCACGCATTCGGCTTGTGCGCACTGTATCAGTGCGTTAAGATTATTGTATTCGGCAAATGAAAACTGATCCAGTGCTGAATTTATATTCGGACCTATCGAATGAACTAAACGAGTTCAAAAAATGTTGCACTGACGTTTCTGATACTGCAATTTGACATAGCACTAAAGTAGTGCACTCGCACCATAGTACAGTGTCTAGAGGTTTGAAGTGGTGAAAAATGGTATTACGCGTGTTTTCTATGGGAATCGTTTTATTATTGTGAATAGAAAAAAAGGAAAAAAATTCGCAAGAGTAGCGTGGTTGCAAAGTTAAAAAAAAATGTCTGAAATGTTGAGAAATTGAGTTTTTCGCGAATAACTCGGAAAATATGCAATTTCAGAAAAAAGGTACAGTACAAAATTAAAGAGGACGAAATTCTGCACAAAAAAGATTCTATTCGCTTTTCTTGAAAAAGCAACGGTTCGCCCGAAAAATGCATTGTTTGAGGTGCGCGTATTCGTCCTGTTGGGCTTAGTGCGGGAAACGAAAATGAGCAAAAATGTAGGTCTATCGAGGTACGAAAATGATCATAACTCCTGATAAAATAGTCGTAAAAAAACAAATAAAAAGCATTTTAAAGGGGAAGACCCCATCTTTTTGATGCATATAAAATATTTTAGTTTCGTGCACTTTCTGAGCCAGGAGAAAGGGTTAAACAAATTTTTTGTCGCTATTTCAAGAGGCCGGCATATATGTATTGAAATATTTATGAAAATCATCCGAATAAAAGAATTGCATGCTTGCAATTTGAGGACATCATGAAGTAATCTAAGGATATTCAAAACCGGATATAATATAGGGGCATAAAATGACGACCTATCAGGAACTCTGGAACTATTCAAAATCTATCCAGAACTCTAAAAAAAAATGATTTTTTCCGAAAATGGGGGGCTGGGTGAAGTTAGCCTCTCATTTTATTAATCGCATTTTTATGGCTTTAATGGCCAGAACTATTTCTTAAACCTATTAGAAACTCTGGAACTATTGGAAATCTATTCAGAATTCCAAAAAAAAATTATTTTTTTTAATAATGGGGGGTTAGCTTCACAGAGGTCAGCGCCCCCACTTTGAAATTAATTTCCTGCGAATGGAAAGAAGCACAAAATTTGGGACTAGAGCAATAAATTAGCACTAAATTAGCACTTAATATGGTATACGGGCGAATTTTTTTGTAGTGGTGTCAGCTTCACAGACGTACTTTTTGGATACTGTGTGTGCGTACGTACGTACGTGCGTGCGTGCGTGTGTACATATAAAGTTTGTGTGTGTATGCAGCGTTTATGCATGAAAATGGGATTCTCTCTTTGATTCCACACAAATATATCAATGTTAATCACGAAGAAACAAATGCGAATTCTTATGTATTGTTTCGATTCTAAACATAAAACCCATATTTGGGATAAAAATAGATTTCCCAATTAAAATCTCAGTGCGATATACCAATTTCGAATAAAGTTGGGCATTCTGATTGTAATCTATACTGTAATTGAAAAGATTTTGGAAAATTTCTATGCGGGTACTTCTAATCAACAGAATAATCGTTAATTAAATGTTTAACAGCACTTCAATGTATATAATACCGTTAATAAGCCATCTTTCATCACATACACACTTACTTCTCCTTTCCTTGGATATTAAATTCGTATTCGCAAATCATATAAGATTGTAGGTAAATGGAAAGTTAGAAGAAGAAAAAAGATAAGGAAAATAGTACGATTGGCCCGAGACTGGGTGAAACGTGAAGGTGAAGAGAAAAGCAAACGAACAACGAAGAAATATCGTTTTTCCTGCCATCGTTGTCTTCGTCGTTTTTCTTATCCTCGATGTGAACTAAACTCGTTCCGACAACTCGTTAAAACTTGCACGCGACTTTCGCAACTTGCTTCTCCTTCTGAAGAAATATTATTTAGATGGTTTCCTAGTTACGCAACCACTTACTCGTTCCATTATTATTTTTTCATTCGAACCTTATCATCTATATGATGAAGTAATTTCAATATACATTAACTGCAATTCATAGTTTATTATATTTCACACATCATATTTTCACAATCTGTATTAATTTTTACATGTTCTTGCGTCTTACCATCAAAATTACTGACGTTTCGTATTATGGTTCTGACATCTTACCTTTCTTCATACATAACCATTTTATTAAAATATGGACGTTTTCTGCAATCTTCTCCATAGACTGGAAATATATTTTCTCTTCATTTTAATCACACGGACTCTATCCTTTCTCACTATCAACCAAAGAATTGGCTTGATTTGGACACTATTACACATCTTTTTATTAATATGACATGTAATATGACTAGATTACTTTTTAACATTTGTAAATGAAGATAAGATGATCTTTATAATTCGGTTTAGTTGACAACTAATTTTTATGTGGTATTTCAAATAATTTTATTGTGGTTGGTTAATTTATGGCTGAGGATGACTAATAAGTTAAGTCAAAACGTTCCATGAATAAAATACTTTTGGTAAATTAATAAATTTATTTTAAACATCTTATAATTTAGCTCGTTTAATTGACCTGGTATACCTTCAATTTTTTATTGTACATATTACACGAGCGGAAATAATATTTTTTTCATATTTTAAATTTTATATTATTATATAATAATAGTTATTATGTATATGTGCTTATATCGTAAAGAAAAATATTAATAAGGTAAATTGAAAACGCAATATTTAAATAAAATGTGTTTACATCGAAAAGAAAGATAAAAATTGAAGTTGCAAACTAAAAATAGATTATATATTATATATACACACACACACACACATACACACACAAGTAAAAATTTCCACATTACAAAGTTCATATGGATTTCTGTTATAATTTTTGTAAATATTATTTTAGTGAATATCATTTCTATTATTTCTTGTTTTAAATTATAGGTAACAAAGAGAATAGAAGAGAAAGGAGAAGCAAAAAGAAAGTAGCCAATTAGGTAAATTGAGCCCATTGGTGTTGGTGACGGAGTGTTAGATTTTAACTAAATTATGTTTTGTTTAATTTTTTAAATTATAATGATAGACTTTTGGGTCGTAGCCCTTTCCTTCATCGTTTTTTAATTTATTGAGTCTTATTACTATCATATTTTTGTATATTTTAAATTATAACTTTCACAAATAATTCAATATCCCCATCTTACCCCCTACCACACGCACAACTTCCTAAGCGAAGCGACTTCCACGCGTCGGTGTGAAGTTGGCACCTCATTTTGAAAAATCCATTTTATACATATTTCCGTTTTCACCCACAATATTTCTGCAATTCCTACAATAATTCTACAGTTTCTTCCTAGATTTTAATAATAGTTCCGGTGATTTATTAAACAAATATTTTTTTTAATGGAGTGCCAATTCCGCGTGGCACTCCAAGTATTACAAAAATTAACTTTTATCACGAAATTCTACAGTTCTCGAAGAGTTCTATAGTTCCTGATAAGTTTTAACAATAGTTCTAGTATTTAAACATTTTTAAATATTGGGTATGGGAATAAGTTTCCGGCCATTGTAGAGAGATGTCGTTAGTAGCACTACTTGTGTGTTTGATAAAACGGCAATACATGTTTTTGAAAGGTGTGTGTTCAAACTCTTGAGCCCAATAGTTGGCATTCGTTCGAAGCGTAAACAAAAGTAACTTTTTTTGCGTTGAAAATGTCGGAATTTATTCTAAAAAAAGCAACATTTGCGGGAAGTTTTACTCCATTATTTCATTTTAAAGAAAAATGCTGCGGAAACGCATCGTTTGCTCATAGATATTTACGGTGAGCATGCTCCATCGAATACTACTTGTAAAGAATGGTTTCGGCGATTTAACAATGGTGATTTCGACGTGCGTGACAAAGAACGCAAAGGTGCACCAAAAAAATTTGAAGATGCAGAATTTGAAGATGAAACCATCCGAAACCATCACTGG